TTTTGGGGTGTTTTTGGGGCTGTTTTTGGTGTGGTTTTGGGCTGGTTTTGCGGTGGTTTTGGGCTGTTTTGGGGCTGGTTTTGGTGTGTTTTTGGGGTGCTTTGGGGTGTTTTGGGGTGGTTTTGGGCTGTTTTTAGGCTGTTTCAGGCTGTTTTGGGGGTGTTATTTGGGTGTTTTGGGGCTGTTTTGGGTGTTCTGGGGTGTTTTGTGCTGGTTTTGGGCTGTTTTGGGGTGGTTTTGGGTGTTTTTGGGCTGGTTTTGGGCTGTTTCAGGGTGGTTTTTGGGTGTTTTGGGGCTGTTTTGGGTGTTCTGGGGTGTTTTGTGCTGGTTTTGGGCTGTTTTGGGGTGGTTTTGGGTGTTTTTGGGCTGGTTTTGGGCTGTTTCAGGGTGGTTTTTGGGTGTTTTGGGGCTGTTTTGGGTGTTCTGGGGTGTTTTGTGCTGGTTTTGGGCTGTTTCAGGGTGGTTTTTGGGTGTTTTGGGGCTGTTTCAGGGTGTTTTTGGGTGTTCTGGGTGTTTTTGGGCTGTTTTGGGATGTTTATGGGTGTTTTTGGGCTGGTTTTGGGCTGTTTTGGGGTGGGTTTTGAGTGTTTTGGGCTGTTTTGGGTGGTTTTGGTGTGTTTTAGGGGTGTTTTTAGGCTGTTTCGGGTGTTTTAGGGGTGTTTTGGGGTGTTCTCGGTTGTTGTGGGGTGCAGGGGGGGTCGTTCCCCTCCGTGGGTGACCCCGGCCTCTGCCCCCAGGCCCCCGGGACCCTGCTAGTGGCCACGAGGCACGAGGTGCTGGCCCTGGGGGGCTCCGAGCCCCGGGTGCTGCGGGGACCCCTCAAACACGTCCAGGGGCTCCAGGTGGGCGTGCAGGGGGGGTCCCTGTTCTGGGGGGACCCCAGCCAGGGGCTCATCTACAGGTGAGGGACCCCCCGAGAGCCCCCGGGATCCTGAACCCCCCTGGCACCCCCAAACCTTCCTGGGACCCCCAAACCTTCCTGGGACCCCCAAACTTTCCTGGGACTCCCAAACTTTCCTGGGACCCCTCAAATGTTCCTGGGACCCTCAACCTCCCGGGACCCCAAACCTTCCTGGGACCCCCTGAACCTTCCTGGGACCCTCAACCCGCCCCCAGGACCCCCAAACCTTCCTGGGACCCTCAAATGTTCCTGGGACCCCCAAACCTTCCTGGGACCCCCAATCCCCCAACACCCCCTTTCACCCCAATGACCCCAATAACCCCCTGTGCCCCCAGAGCCCCCAATGACCCCAATAACCCCCAATGACTCCAATGACCCCCTGTCCCCCCTTTCCCCCAGAGCCCCCAATAACCCCCTTTCCCCAGAGCCCCCTAATGACCCCAATAACCCCCAATGACCCCCTGCCCCCTTTCCCCCAGAGCCCCCAATAACCCCCCTGTCCCCCTGTCCCCCAGGGCCCCCAATAACCCTCTTTCCCCCAGAGCCCCCAATCCCCCTGTCCCCCAGGGCCCCCAATAACCCTGTCCCCCAGGGCCCGCTGTCTCCGGGCCGGCGGTGCCGCTGGGGTGGGGGGTCGGGGGTCCCTGAGGGGCTGGCCCTGGACTGGCTGCAGGGCTCCTCTGCTGAGCAGCCCCTCGGAGGCCCTCAGCGTGTGCCCCCCTGCCGGGGCAGGGCCAGGACCCTGCTCAGGGACCCCGGGCTCAGCCCTGGGGCATCGCCGTGGACCCCTAAATGGAGTGCGGGGGGAGGAGGGGGGACAGGAGGATGAGGAGGAGTCTAGGGGGATGGGGAAATGAGAGTCACAGGGATGGGGGGCCCTGAGGGCATCGCCGTGGACCCCTGAGCAGGTACGGGGGGGAGAGGGGATGGGGGAAATGGGGTCACAGGGGATGGGAGGCCCTGAGGCATCGCCGTGGACCCCTAAATGGGTACGGGGAGGGAGGGGGATGGGGAGGAGAGGGTCACAGGGGATGGGGGCCCTGGGGCATCGGCGTGGACCCCTGAGCGGGTACGGGGAGGAGGGACAGGGGGATGGGGGAAATGGGGGTCACAGGGGGATGGGGGGCCCTGGGGCATCGCCGTGGACCCCTGAACGGATGCAGGGGAGGGGGGATGGGGGATGGGGGGATGGGGGGATGGGGAGGGGGTCACAGGGGATGGGGGCCCTGGGGCATCGCCGTGGACCCCTGAACGAGTGCAGGGGGGTGGATGGGGGGACATGGGGGGCACAGGGGGATGGGGGAGGGACGGGGGGATGGGGAGGACAGGAGGGACATTGGGGGATGGAGGGGGTCACAAGGGGGCAATGGGGCAGTGGGGGGTCACAAGGGGGGACAGGGAATGGGGGGACAGGGGGAGGGGACAGGGGGATTTGGGGGGACAGGAGGGACATGGGGAGATGGAGGAGGGTCACAAGGGGGTCACAGGGGGACAGGGGGTCACAGGGACGGGACAGGGGGATGGAGGAGGGTCACAAAGGGGGTCACAGGGGATGTGGGGGGTCACAGGGAGGGGACAGAGGGTCAAGGGGGTCAATGGGGCAGTGGGAGGTCACAAGGGGGCACAGGGGGATGGGGGGGTCACAAGGGGGCCCAGTTCCTGGTGCCTCCCCAGTGCCCCCCCAGCGACCCCAGTGCCCCCCCCCAGGTACCTGTACTGGGCAGACTGGGGGTCCCGCCCCCACATCGCCCGGGGGGGCCAGGACGGGACCCCCCCAGTCCCGCTCGTCACCGAGGGGGTGGAGAGGCCCCAGGGGCTGGCGCTGGGTGAGACCCCCGGGGGGGACCCCAAAACTGCCACTGGGACCCCAAACCCCTCACTGTGACCCCAAACCCAGCCCTGTGACCCCAAACCTGACCCTGTGACCCCAAATCCCTCCCTGTGACCCCAAAACTGTCACTGGGACCCCAAATCCCTCCCTGTGACCCCAAACCCAGCCCTGTGACCCCAAATCTGTTCCTGTGACCCCAAATCTGTCCCTGTGACCCCAAACCTGTCACTGTGACCCCAAACCTGACCCTGTGACCCCAAATCTGTCCCTGTGACCCCAAATCCCTCCCTGTGACCCCAAACCTGACCCTGTGACCCCAAACCTGGTCCTGTGACCCCAAATCCCTCCCTGTGACCCCAAATCTGTCCCTGTGACCCCAAACCTGCCCCCCTCCCCCAAACCAGTCCTCCCAGCGCCTGTACTGGGTGTCCCTGACCCCAAACCTGCCCCCCCTCCCCAGACCAGTCCTCCCAGCGCCTGTACTGGGTGTTCCTGACCCCCCCTGTGCCCCCCCTCCCCAGACCAGTCCTCCCAGCGCCTGTACTGGGCCGACGGGCGCCTCCACAGCGTGTCCAGCGTGGCCCTGGACGGGAGCGGGCGCCGCACCCACCTGAGGGACCCCCAGCACCTGGGGCAGCCCCTGGGCCTGGCCGTGTTCCAGGTGAGACCCCAAATCCCCCAGGACCCCCCAAATTCCCTGGGACCCCCCCAAATTCCCTGGGACCCCCAAATTCCCCTGGACCCCCAAATTCCCCTGGAGCCCCCAAATTCCCAGGACCCCCAAATTCCCGGGACCCCCAAATTCCCTGGGACCCCCAAATTCCCCTGGACCCCCAAATTCCCTGGGACCCCCTCAGTGTTCCCCCATCCCTGGGACCCCCAAATTCCCCAGGACCCCCAAATTCCTGGGACCCCCTCAGTGTTCCCCCATCCCTGGGACCCCCAAATTCCCTGGACCCCCAAATTCCCCAGGACCCCCAAATTCCCTGGGACCCCCAAATTCCCAGGACCCCCCAAATTCCCTGGCACTCCCGAATCCTGGGACCCCCCATGGCCCTCCCCATCCCTGGGACCCCAAATTCCCGGGACCCCTTAAATTCCTGGGACCCCCAAATTCCTGGGACCCCCATGGCCCCCCATCCCCTGAGACACCTCGAATCCCCAGGACCCCCGCCCCAATACTCTCCACGGGACCCTCTCCCAACCCCAGGGACACCCCTGGGACCCCCAATTCCCCTGGATGCCCCCAGTGACCCCCCAGTGACCCCCAATGACCCCCGTGTCCCCCAGGGCTGGGCCGTCTGGACCGACCCCCCCCGTGGGGCCGTGGTTGCCGCCCGGCTCGGGGGGGGCTCCGAGGGGGGGTCCCCTCTGCCCCCCAGGGTGGTGGCCCAGGAGCTCTTCAGCCCCGAGGCCGTTGTGGTGCTGCACCCTGGGACACAGCCCCCAGGTAAACACCCCAAAAACACCCCAAAACACCCTAAAAACACCCCAAAACACCCCAGAAACACCCCAAAACACCCCAGAAACACCCCAAGAACACCCCAGAAACACCCCAAAACACCCTAAAAACACCCCAAAACACCCCAAAACACCCCAAAAACACCCTGAAAACACCCCAGAAACACCCCAAAACACCCCAGAAACACCCCAAGAACACCCTAAAAACACCTCAAAAACACCCCAAACCACCCCAAAAACACCGAAAAACACCTCAGAAACACCCAGAAAACATCCTAAAAACACCCAAAAACACCCCAAAACGACCCAGAAAACACCCCAAAAACACCCCAGAGACACCCCAGAAACACCCCAAAACCACCCCAAAACACCCTTAAAACACCCAAAACCACCCTAAGAACACCCCAAAAACAGCGCAGAAACACGCCAAGAACACCCTAAAACCACCCCAAAACCACCCCAAAATCACCCCTAAACACCTCAAAAAACACCCCAAAAACACCCCAGAGACACCCCAAAAACCATCCCCGAACACCCAGAAACATCCTTCAAAAACACCCCCAAAGCACCCCGGGTAACCCCCCCAAAACCCCCCCAAAACTACCCAAAAAACACACAAAAAACACCCCAAGCCCCCTAAAAATCACCCCAAAAAAACACCCTCAAAACACCCCAAAACATCCCCCCAAAATACCCCAAAATTACCCAAAAACACTCCCCAAAAACACCCCAAAAACATCCCCCAAATCCCCCCAAAATATGTCTCCAAAACACCCCCATGTAACCCCCAAAACACCCCCAAAAACACCCCAAAAATCCACCAAAAGCACCCCCAAGTAACCCTCCCCAAACACCCCAGAAACACCCAAAAAACCACCCCAAAACATCTCCCCAAAACACCCCCAGATAATCCCAAAAAAACATCCCCAAACCACCCCAAAACATCCCAAAAAACTCTCAAAACATCTCCCCAAAACACCCCCAGGTAACCCCCTGAAAACGTCCCAAAACACCCCAAAAAACACCCCAAAAACACTCAGAACATCCCCCAAAACATCCTCCAAAAACACCCCCAGGTGACCTCCCAAAACCACCCCAGAATTACCTAAAAACACTCCCCAAAACCACCCCAAAACCACCCCAGAATTACCCAAAAATGCTCCCCAGAAACACCCCAAAACCACCCCCAAAATTACCCAAAAACACTCCCCAAAACCACCCCAAAATTATCCAAAAATGCTCCCCAAAAACACCCCAAAACCACCCCCAAAACCACCCCAAAATTACCCAAAAACACTCCCCAAGAACACCCCAAAACCACCCCAAAATTACCCAATAATGCTCCCCAAAACCACCCCAAAAACATCACAAAATTACCCAAAAACGTTCCCCAAAAACACTCCCCAAAACCACCCCAAACCATCCCAAAACATCCCCCCAAAACACTCCCAGGTAACCCCCCAAAACACTCCCCAAAAACACCAAAAAAACACCCCCAAAATACCTGAAAAACACCCCAAAAACACCCCACAAGGACACCCCCAGAACACCCCAAGGTCACCCCCAAAACCACCCCAAAACACCCCAAAACCAGCCCCCAATCTCTCCCAAAAAACACCCCCAGGTGACCCCCAAAACCACCCCAAAACCACGCCAAAACCAACCCCAAACCCCCCCAAAACCACCCCAAAAACACCCCAAAACCAGCCTCCAACCCCCCAAAAACACCCCCGGGTGACCCCCAAAACCACCCCAAAAACACCCCAAACCAGCCCCTAAACCCCCCCAAAACCACCCCAAAAACCAACCCCTAAACCCCCAAAACCCCCAAAACCACCCCAAAACAACCCCAAACCCCCAAAAACACCCCAGGTGCCCCCAAAACCACCCCAAAAACAACCCCAACCCCCAAAGAAACCCCAAACCCACCCCAGATAACCCCCAGAACATCTCCCAAGATCCCCCAAAAACACCCCAAATTCATCCAGGGACGCCCCAAAACCCCCTGTGCCCCTCCCCCTCACCGGTGCCCCTCCCCTCAGCCGTGCCCCTCCCCCAGGTCCGAACCGCTGTGAGGGTCGGGGGTCTCTGCTCCTTCCTCTGCCTCCCCTCCCCACCCGGGACCCCCGAGCCCCCGTTCCGCTGCGCCTGCCCCGACGGGAGCGCCTGGACAGCGATGGATTCACCTGTGTGACAGGTAAAGCTGAGACCCCAAAACCTCCCTGAGACCCCCAAAACCCACCCTGAGACCCCCTGAACCCCCCAACACCCCCTGAGACCCCCAAACCCACCCTGACCCCCTGAGCCCCCAACACCCTCGACGGGGAGCGCCTGGACAGCGATGGATTCACCTGTGTGACAGGTAAAGCTGAGACCCCAAACCCTCCTGAGACCCCCTGAGACCCCTGAACCCCCCAACACCCCCTGAGCCCCCAAACCCCCTGAGCCCCAAAACCCACCCTGACCCCCGAGCCCCCTGTCTCGCTGCGCCTGCCCCGATGGGGAGCACCTGGACAGTGATGGATTCACCTGTGTGACAGGTAAATCTGAGACCCCTGAGACCCCTGAGACCCCTGAGACCCCTGAGACCCCCTGAGACCCCCAAACCCACCCTGACCCCCAAACCTCCCTGAGACCCCCAAAACCCACCCTGAGCCCCTGAGCCCCCAACACCCCCAACGGGAGCGCCTGGACAGCGACGGATTCACCTGTGTGACAGGTAAATCTGAGACCCCCAAACCTCCCTGAGACCCCCAAAACCCACCCTGAGCCCCCAAACCCCCTGAGCCCCCAAAACCCACCCTGACCCCCTGAGCCCCCAGCACCCCGACGGGGAGCGCCTGGACAGCGACGGATTCACCTGTGTGACAGGTAAAGCTGAGACCCCTGAGACCCCCTGAGACCCCCTGAGACCCCCTGAGACCCCCAAAACCCCCTGAGCCCCCAAAACCCACCCTGACCCCCTGAGCCCCCAAAACCCAACACCCCAGCACCTGGACAGCGATGGATTCACCTGTGTGACAGGTAAAGCTGAGACCCCTGAGACCCCCTGAGACCCCCTGAACCCCCAACACCCCTGAGACCCCCTGAGACCCCCAAACCCACCCTGAGCCCCCAAACCCCCCAAATCCCCCTGAGCCCCCAAAACCCACCCTGAGACCCCAAACCCACCCTGACCCCTGAGCCCCCAAACCCCTCTGAGACCCCCTGTACTCCCCAAAACCCACCCTGAGCCCCTGAGCCCCCAACACCCCCTGAGCCCCCAAACCCCACCCTGATCCTTCTACCCCCAAACCCCCTGAGACCCCCAAACCCCCACACCTCCCCCTGTGCCCAGGTGACCCCAATTTGTCCCCCTGTGTCCCCCCAGACCCCCGGGAACTTCAGCGGGACCACCACGAACAGCTCAGCAGGGGAGGAGACAGGTAACGACCCCCAGACCCCCTGAGACCCCCTGAGACCCCTGAGACCCCCCAGACCCCCCAGACCCCCTGAGACCCCTTTCTGACCCCCGAGACCCCCAGTCCTGCTGCTGCTCCTGGGGGTCCTCAGAGGTCTCTGCGGGGAGCCCCCACTTTGGGGGCTCCCTGATCTCCCCTCCCAAAAAACCCCACCTGAACCTTTTGTCTCCCCAGACCCCCGGGACCCCAAAGCTGACCCCGAAACCCCGGGAACTTCAGCGGGACCCCCACCAACAGCTCGGCGGGGAGGGGACAGGTGACGACCCCCAGACCCCCCAGAGCCCCCGAGACCCCCCAGACCCCTGAGAGCCCCCAGACCCCCTGAGACCCCTCTGACCCCCTGAGACCCCTCTGAGACCCCTGAGAGCCCCCAGACCCCTGAGACCCCTGAGACCCCCTGAGAGCCCCCAGACCCCTGAGACCCCTCTGACCCCCAGACCCTCTGAGAGCCCCCAGACCTCCTGAGACCCCTCTGACCCCCTGAGACCCCTCTGAGACCCCCTGAGAGCCCCCCAGATCCCCTCTGACCCCCAGATCCCCTGAGACCCCTCTGACCCCCCAGACCCTCTGAGAGCCCCCAGACCTCCTGAGACCCCTCTGACCCCCTGAGACCCCTCTGAGACCCCTGAGAGCCCCCAGATCCCCTGAGACCCCTCTGACCCCCTGAGACCCCTTGAGACACCCCAGACCCCCTGAGACCCCCTGAGACCCCCTCTGACCCCCAGACCCCCTCTGAACCCCCAGACCCCTGAGACTCCCGGAGACACCCCCAGACCCCCTGAGACCCCTGAGACCCCCTGTGACCCCCCAACCCCTCCCTGAGTCCCTTTGACCCCCAAACCCCCGTGCCCCCCTTGGCCCCCCCATTTCTCCCCAGGTGCCTCGGGGGTCCCGGGGTCTCTGCTGGCTCTGGGGTGCTGCTGCCCTCGGTACGACCCCAAATTGGGGAGGGGGTGGGGGCGGGCACCCTGAATTTGGGGGTGGGGATGGGAAAATGGGGGTCAGCAGTGGGGGTCTGGGTGGGAGGGCCCAAATTGGGGGTCCCCAAAGGATGGGGGGCTCCAAAATGGGAGGGGGATGGGAGGCAGGAGGGGAAAATGGGGGCCTCATGTCCCCCCAGCCCTGGTGCTGCTCCTGGGGGCCCTGGGGGGTTTGGGGGTTTGGGGTGTTTGGGGGGCTCTGGGGGTTCTGGGGTGTTTCTGACCCCCTGTCCCCCCAGCCCTGGTGCTGCTCCTGGGGTCTCTGGGGGCTCTGGGGGTTTGGGGTTCTGGGTAGTTTCTGACCCCCATGTCCCCCAGCCCTGGTGCTGCTCCTGGGGGCCCTGGGGGCTCTGAGGGCTCTGGGAGGTTTGGGGGCTCTGGGGGTCTGTGGGTATTTTTGGACCCCTTTAACCCCCATGTCCCCCAGCCCTGGTGCTGCTGTTGGGGGCCCTGGGGGCTCTGGGGGTGGAGGCGCGCAGCATCAACAGCATCAGCTTCAGCAACGCCGCCTTCCGCAAGGGGCCCTGGGACCCCCGGGATGGGGGTTGTCTGGGACCCCTGGTGAGTGGGGGGGGCCCTGGGACCCCCAGCGAGGGGGAAACTGGGACCCCCTGGTGAGTGGGGGGCTCTGGGACCCCTAGTGAGTGAGGGGGCTCTGGGACCCCTGGTGAGTGGGGGCTCTGGGACCCCTGGTGAGTGGGGGGCTCTGGGACCCCTGGTGAGTGGGGGGCTCTGGGACCCCCACGAGGGGGGCCCTGGGACCCCGGGATGGGGGTGTCTGGGACCCCTGGTGAGTGGGGGAAGGTCCATAGGGTCACTGGGGGGTTCTCTGGGGTCTCTGGGGGTCTTTGGGTTCTCTGGGGGTCTCTTTGGGGTCTCTGGGAGTCCATGGGGTTCTCTGAGGGGGTCTCTGGGGGGTTCTCTGTGGGTCTCTGTGGGGGTCTCTGGGGTCTCTGGGGTCCATGGGGGTCTCTGTGGGGTCTCTGTGGGGGTCTCTGTGGGGTCTCTGGGGGTCCCTGGGGGTCCCTGGAGGGGTCTCTGGGGGTCTCTGTGGGGTCTCTGGGGGTCTCTGGGGGGCCCCTGGGGGTGTCTCTGGGGGTCTCTGGGGGTCTCTGGGGTCCCTGGGGGTCTCTGGGGGTCTCTGACCCCCCCTCCCCCCCAGCAGCCGCTGACTCCGGGGGACGACGAGCTCTGAGGGTTTGGGGGGGGGCCGAGACCCCTCCCCACCCCCACCATGAGACCCTCTGAGACCCCCCCCGAGCCCCGGGGGGGGCGGTGACACCGGGGGGGACCCCGGGAGTGAGAGCGGGGCCTGGGGGGGAACACCTGGATGGAGCTGGATACACACCTGGACACACCTGGATGGACCTGGATGGACCTGGGAACATCTGGGAACACCTGGATGGACCTGGATACACACCTGGATACACCTGAGAACACTTGGATGTACCTGGGAACACCTGGATGGACCTGGGAACATCTGGGAACACCTGGATGGACCTGGATACACACCTGGATACACCTGAGAACACTTGGATGTACCTGGATACACCTGGATGGACCTGGGAACATCTGGGAACACCTGGGAACATCTGGATGTACACCTGGATACACCTGAGAACATCTGGATGTACCTGGGAACACCTGGACACACACCTGGATGCACCTGAGAACAGCTGGGAACATCTGGATACAACTGAGCACAGCTGGACACACACTTGGATGCACCTGGGAACACACCTGGACACACCTCGATACACTTGAGCACAGCTGGGAACACCTGGATACATCTAGATACACCTGGATACACCTGGGAACATCTGGGAACACCTGGACACACACCTGGATGGACCTGTGTGTGCCTGGACACACCTGAGCATGGCTGGGAACACACCTGGATACACCTGGGAACATCTGGGAACACAGCTGGGAACACCTGGACACACCCCTGGCCACACCTGTGTGCACCTGGGAGAACCTGGACACACCTGGGGACTCACCTGAGCACACCTGGACACACACCTGGACACACACCTGTCCCCACCTGTCCCCACCTGTCCTGACCTGCCCCCCCCACCCCGGTGCCCTGGGTCGGTTCCTTGGTGATTGTTTTGTATTTTTTTTAACCAAAAACTGTGAATTTCACCCCAGAACCGCTGCCAGTGGGGGGAGGGGAGGGGCCCGAATTTGGGATGCTCCGCCCCGCCCCCCCCAATAAAGGTTTATTTATTGACCCCCCGGGGCTGAACTGGGACAAACTGGGAGGGACTGGGTGGGGAAATGGGCGGGGCCTGCGGCCCCTCCCGCTCGCTGATTGGTCGCCTTTTTCCCCCCTAAACGGCCGCTCGCCGCTGATTGGCCACTTTGCACGCGCCTCAGCGCGCCATTGGCCGCCGGTGCTGCCAATCGCGCCCCCCGCGCGCTCCCATTGGCTGAGGTCGCTTCCCGCCCGCCCCGTGATTCCCGCGCTCGGCATTCCCCGGGCTGGCCCCGCCCCCTTCCAGGGGCTCGGCGAATAGGAACGCGCCGGGAGCGCTGCGCGGGCTCTCATTGGCCGCGCCCGCCGCCAATCACATCTCGTGCTCCGCCCTCTCCGCGCCACTTCCGCTCCCCCGCAGCAATGGCGGCGCGCGGCGGTCCCGCCCCCTCCGCCGCGGCCCCCGCGCTCCGATTGGCCCGCGCCCCCGCCACTCACCGCCCGCTCCCGCCCTCCCCGCGCCGATTGGCCGAGCGAGCCGTCACTCACCGCGAGCGGCGCCGCGGATTGGCCCCCCCTGCGCGCGGCGGGCGGGGCCTCGTCCCGGCGCGCTCCCAGCGTGCCCCGCGCGCCGTGAGGGGAGCGCGGCCCGGGCCCCGTCGCCGCCTCCGCCATGTCCGAGTTCTGGCCTCGCGCCGCCCCTGCCCCTGCCCGGGGCCTGCCTCTCGCCGCGCCCCTCGGCCGGCCCCGCCGGGGGCGCGGGGGCCTGGAGGGGGCCTGGCGGCGGCGGCGGCGGCGGCGGCGGACGGGGCGCAAGGACGCGTTCGCAGACGCGGTGCAGGCGCGCGGCAGGTACGGGGTGGGGGCGGCGAACGGGAGCCCCCGCGGAAACGCCCCCCTCCCCTCCGAGCTCCTCAGGGGTCCTGCCGGGAGGCCCTGCCTCCACACCCCAGGGGGTCGTGAAAGAGGAGGGGGGGGATTTGCCCCATCGGACCCCCCCATCGCGCCCCCCATTTCCGATCTGTGTCCATTCCCGCTTTCCCTCCACAAATTCCCGGTTTTTCCCCCCTCCCCAATTCCCGCCGCTCCCCGATTTTCGGGGGGGGCTCTCGCGCCGTAATTACGGTAATTACCGTCTCTTACCGTAATTACCCCCCCCCGGTCCCGCCGCCCCCGGGAACTTTTGGGGGGTCCCGGCGCCGTAAATACGGTAACGGCCGCCCTTTACCGTAATTACCCCCAATTCTCTGCTCTGCCCCCCCATTCCTAGGGCTCCCCAATTCCCGGGCTCCCGCCCTGATTTCCGCGCCCCGCGGCGCCGCAATCCCCGCAATTAACGTAATTAACACCCCGATTAACGGGGGTTCTCCCCGGGACGAGCGCAAGGGGAGTTTGGGGGGCGATCTCAGCTTTGTTGGGGGTCTCTGCTGCTGTTGATGGGGGCGGGGGGGCTCTCGTGCTGATTTGGGGGTCCTGGGAGAGGTCCGGGAACCCCCGGTCATGGAGGGGTTTTGGGGGTCCTGGGAGAGGTCTGGGACCCCCGGTCATGGAGGGGTTTGGGGGGGTCCTGGGAGAGGTCCGGGGGAACCCCCTGGTCATGGAGGGTTTTGGGGGTCCTGGGGGCTCACCCTGGTGTGGGGCGGGTGGGGGTTCTTTGGGGGCTCTGTGGAGGGGTTTTTGGGGGTCCCGTGGGAGGATTTTGGGGGTCTCTGGGGGAGTTTGGGGGTTCCTGGGGATCCTGGGAGTGTTTTGGGGAGGATCCTGGGGAGGTTTTGGGGTCCTGGGGGCAGCTCTGGGGCTTCTGAGGGGGGGAGGGGGCTTTGAGGGTCCCAGGGAGGGCTTGGGGGGTGTGGGTTTGAGGGGAGTTGGGGGGTCCCAGGCTGGTTTTGGGGGGGTCCCAAAGTGTTTTTTGGGCATCCCTGCTGTGGTTTTGGGGGAAGTTGGGGGGTCCCAGGCTGATTTTTGGGGGTCCCAGGCTGGTTCTGGGCGTCCCAGGCTGGTTCTGGGGGTCCCAGGGTGGATTTTAGAAGTCCTTGATCTGGTTCTGGGGGTCCCTGGTGCAGTTTTGGGGGGAGTTGGGGGGTCCCAGGCTGATTCTGGGGATCCCAGGGTGGATTTTAGGAGTCCCTGATCTGGTTCGGGGGGTCCCAGACTGGTTCTGGGGGTCCCTGGTGCAGTTTTGGGGGGAGTTGGGGGGTCCCAGGCTGGTTTTGGGGGTCCCAGGCTGGTTCTGGGGGTCCCAGGGTAGATTTTGGGGGGTCCCAGGCTGGTTTGGGGGTCCCAGGCAGTTGAGGGTCCCACGGAGGTTCCTGTGTTAAGGGGGTCTCAGTGGGAGTTTGGGGGTCCCAGGGTCGATGGGAGGGTTCTGGGGGTCCCGGGGGGGTCCCTGATTTTGGGGTGACCCCCTTTGTCCCCACACCCCTCAGATCGCGGCCAAGATCGGGGGACGCCCCGCCCGTGCCTAACAACAACCCCCCGACTTCGGGGGCTTTGGGGGGCAGAAGCGGCAGCTGGAGGACGGTGGTAAGGCCTGGGGACCCCACACCTGGGGCCCCCCAGAGCACGGGGGACCCCCAAATCTGGGGGCGTTCAGGGTCCCTAAAACCTCCTTTCCTTCCTCCCCTCCCCAGATCAGCCCGAGAGCAAGAAACTGGCCACGCAGGGGACGGTGAGGGGGGCTGGGGGTGTTTGTGGGGTCCTGGGGTTTTTGGGGGTCTTGGGGTTTTTGGGGGTCAAAGCTCTTTGGGGGCTCCTGCAGTACTGAGGGGTTGCCAGGAGGGGGCGCTTTGGGAGGGGGAGTCCCAGGGAGGGTTTTGGGGGTCCTGGAGGGGTTGGAGTTACCTGAGGGGGCTTTGGGGGTCTCTGGGGGTGGTTGGGGGTCCCCAGGGGGTTTTGGGGTCCCATCAGAGGAGTTTGGGGGAGGTTTGGAGGTTGCTGGGGGTAATTGGGGGCTCTGGGGTGGGTGGGGTGGTGGGGACTTGGATGGGGTTTGGGGGTCCTGGGAAGGTTTTGGGTGGTCCTGGGAGGGTTCTGGGGTCCTGGGAAGGTTTTGGGGTTCCTGGGAGGGTTCTGGGGGTCCTGGGAGGGTCCTGGGGGGTTCTGGGAGGGCTTGGGGGTCCTGGGAAGGTTTTGGGAGTCCTGGGAAGGTTTTGGGGGTTCTGGGGTCCTGTCTGCCTCTCGGCGGGTTCTGAGCGCATTTTGGGGTCTCCAGAAGGAGGTCCCGGGGTTTTGGGCCCTCCCAGGCCCCCAAACAGGGGGACCCCCAGACGGGTCGGGTCCCCCCAGCGCTGCCGGCGCCCATGGGGCCCATCCACCCCCACCCAGGTAAGGGGGCTCTGGGGGGGGGCCTGGGGGGCTTCAGGGGAGTGGGAGGGGGCTTTGAGGGGTCTTGGGGATTTTAAGGGGGGATTGAGATTTGGGGTTTTTTGGGGGTCCTGGGAAGGTTTTGGGGGCTTGGAAAGAGTTAAGGGGGTTTTGGAGAGGGGACTTGGGGTCCTGGGGCTCCTTTGGGGAGACCTGACGGGCTGAGGGGGTCCTGGGGAGGGGCTTGGGGTCCTGGGGAGGGGTTTGGGGGTCCTGGGTGGTTTTGGGTGCCCTGAGGGTGTTTTGGGTTGCCCTGGGGGTGTTTTTGTTGCCCTGGTTGTTTTTGGGGTATCCTGGGGGTGTTTTTGGGTGCCCTGGCAGTGTTTTGGGTTCCCTGGCTGTTTTTGGGGTGTCCTGGGGGTGTTTTGGGGTGCCCTGGGGGTGTTTTTGTTGCCCTGGGTGATTTTGAGGTGCCCTGGGGCTGTTTTTGGGTGCCCTGGGGGTGTTTTTGGGTTGCCCTGGTGATATTTGGGGTGCCCTGGGGGTGTTTGGGGTGCCCTGGCTGTTTTTGGGTGCCCTGGGGGTGTTTCTGGGGTGCTCTGGCTGTTTTTGGGGTGCCCTGGGGGTGTTTTTGGGTACCTTGGGGTTGTTTTTGGGTGCCCTGGGGGTGTTTTTGGGTGCCCTGGCTGTTTTTGGGGTGCCCTGGCTGTTTTTGGGGTGTCCTGGGGCTGTTTTGGGGTGCTCTGGGGGTGTTTTTGGGTGCCCTGGGGGTGTTTTGGGTGCCCTGGGGCTGTTTTTGGGTTCCCTGGCTGTTTTTGGTGTACCCTGGGGTTGTTTTGGGGTACCCTGGTGATATTTTGGGTACTCTGGGGGTGTTTTTTGTGCCCCCTGACCCCCCCGTGCCCCCCAGGACGACGGTGACCGAGGAGTACCGCGTGCCCGACGGCATGGTGGGCCTCAGTGAGTGGGGCTGGGGGCCGGGGGCTCTGGGGTCCCTGGGGCTCTAGGGACCCTGGGGTTCAGGGACCCCCAACCCCCCTGTGTGTGTCTGTGCCCCCAGTCATCGTGGCAGGGGGAGCAGATCAACAAGATCCAGCAGGACTCGGGTGCAAGGTGCAGATCTCCCCAGGTGAGGGGCTGGGCCCCAAAACCCTCTCCTGCCCCCTGGGGACTCCCCAGAAAGTGCTGAGGCCCCCGACCCCGCTAGCCCCCTGACCCCGCTGAGCCCCCCTCCCCCAGACAGCGGCGGGTTACCCGAGAGGAGCGTGTCCCTCACGGGGTCCCCGGAGGCCGTGCAGTGAGTGACCCCACACCCCCCTGGGACCCCAAAAACAACCCCTGGGATCTCCAAAACCACCCCTGGGATCTTCAAACCACTCCTGGGAACTCCAGAAACCCCTCCTGGGACCCCCAAAATGACCCCTGGGACCCCCAAAACCACCCCTGGGACCCCCAAACAACCCCTGGGATCTCCAAAACCACCCCTGGGATCCCCAGAACCACCCCTGGGACCCCCAAAACAACCCCTGGGACCCCGAAAACCACCCCTGGGACCCCCAAACCACCCCTGGGATCTCCAAAACCATCCTGGGATCCCCAAACAATCCCTGGGACTCCCAAACAACTCCTGAGACCCCTAAACCACCCCTGGGACCCCCAAAACCATCCTTGGGACCCCCAAAACCACCCCTGGGACCCCCAAAACAACCCCTGGGACCCTCAGAACCACCCCTGGGACCTCCAGAACCCCCTCTGGGATCTCCAAATCCCCCCTGGGACCCCTAAACCACCCCTGGGACCCCTAAAACCCCTCCTGGGACCCCCAAAACAACCCCTGGGACCCCCCAAACCCCTCCTGGGAACCCCAAACAACCCCTGGGACCCCCAAAATCAGTCCTGGGACCCCCAAAACCACCCCTGGGACCCCCAAACAACCTCTGGGATCTCCAAAACCACCCCTGGGACCCCCAAACCACCCCTGGGACCCCCAGAACCCCTCCTGGGACCCCCAAACTCCTCCTGGGACTCCCCGAACCACCCCTGGGACCCCCAAATCACCCCCTGGGACCCCAAAACAACCCCTGGGACCTCCAAATGACCCCTGGGACCCCCAACCCCCTGGGACCCCCAAACTCCTCCTGGGACCCCTAAACTCCTCCTGGGACCTCCAAACCCCTCTTTGGGACCCCCAAACCTCCCCTGGGACCCCCAGATCCCCCCAGAGCCTCTCGAGTGACCCCCCACCCCCCAGGAAGGCCAAGGCCCTGCTGGACGACATCGCCTCTGGGCAGGGGCCCCCGGCCCCTTCCCGACTCGGCCAACGGGCAGAACGGGACGGTGCAGGAGCTGATGATCCCTGCAGGGAAGGCTGGGCTGGTCATTGGCAAGGGGGAGACCATCAAACAGCTCCAGGTACCCCCTGGGGGCTTTTGGGGGCTTTGGGGGCGATTTAGGGGGTCACTGAGGGGTCTGGGGGGGTTTGGGGTCCCTGATGATCCCTGCAGGGAAGGCTGGGCTGGTCATTGGCAAGGGGGGAGACCATCAAACAGCTCCAGGTACCCCCTGGGGGCTTTTGATGGGGGCTGGGGGTCACTCAGGGGTTTGGGGGATTTGGGGATGCTTGGGGGTCAGCCAGGGGTTTGGGGGTTTGGGGTCCCTGATGATCCCTGCAGGGAAGGCTGGGCTGGTCATTGGCAAGGGGGGGGAGACCATCAAACAGCTCCAGGTACCCCAAAAACACCCCTGGGGGGGATCTGGGGGGGTTTGGGGGGTCCCTGAGGGGTTTGGGGTCCCTGATGATCCCTGCAGGGAAGGCTGGGCTGGCTGGCAAGGGGGCGCGACCATCAAACAGCTCCAGGTACCCTGGGGGCCACTCAGGGTCTGAGGGGGATTTGGGGTCACTCAGGGATTTGGGGGTGTTTGGGGGTTTGGGGTCCCTGATGATCCCTGCAGGAAGGCTGGGCTGGTCATTGGCAAAGGGGGAGACCATCAAACAGCTCCAGGTACCCCTGGGGGATTTGGGGCGATTTAGGGGTCACTGAGGGGTTTGGGGTCCCTGAGGGGTCTGGGGGGGTTTGGGGTCCCTGATGATCCCTGCAGGGAAGGCTGGGCTGGTCATTGGCAAGGGGGGGGAGACCATCAAACAGCTCCAGGTACCCCAAAAACACCCCTGGGGGGTCCCTGAGGGGTTTGGGGGGGGGTTTAGGGCCTTTGGGGGCATTTGGGGAGCACTTTGGGATTTGGGGGTCCCTGGTGATCTCGCCAGGAAAAGCAGGTTTGGCTATTGGGGAACAGAGAGAGACCATTAAGCACATCTGGGTACCCCAAAAACACTCTTGGGGGGTCACTGAGGTGTTTGGGGAGGTTTGGAGTCACTGGGAGGTTTGGGGGGGTCATTGAGGGGTTTGGGGGGGATTTTGGGGGTCCCTGAGGGGTTTGGGGTCCGTGCTGATCCCTGCAGGGAAAGGCAGGGTTGGTTCTCAGGGAACAGGGAGAGACTTTCGAACAGGGCCAGGGACCCCCCAAATCCCCCTGGAGGGCCTGGGGGGTCACTGGAGGGTTTTAGGGGGGTACTGGAGGGTTTTGGGGGGGCACTGGGGGGTGTTTTGGGGGTCTCAGCCCTGAGGGGTCCCCGTCCCCCCCAGGAACGCGCCGGGGTGAAGATGATCCTGATCCAGGACGGTTCCCAGAACACCAACGTGGACAAACCCCTGCGCATCATCGGGGAGCCCTACAAGGTGCAGGTGAGGCAGCCCCAAAACAGACCCCAAACCTTGTTGCCCTGATCCCAAACCCTGCCCCCCGACCCCTCAGTGACCCCCCTGAGCCCCCTGACCCCAAACCCTGTTCTTCTGATCCCAAACCCTGCCCCCTGACCCCAAACCCTGCCCCCTGACCCCAAACCCTGCCCTCTGACCCCAAACCCTGCCCCCTGACCCCAAACCCTGCCCCCCAAACCCCAAACCCTGCCTCCCTGACCCCAAACCCTGCCCCCTGACCCCAAACCCTGCCCCTGACCCCAAACACCTCCCTGACCCCAAACCCTGCCCCTGACCCCAAACCCTGCCCTGACCCCAAACCTTGCCCCCTGACCCCAAACCCTGCCCCTGACCCCCAAACCCCTGCCCCTGACCCCAAACCCTGCCCCCTGACCCCAAACCCCTGCCCCCTGACCCCAAACACCCCGACTCCCAAACCCTGCCCCCTGACCCCAAACCCCTGCCCCTGACCCCAAACCCTGCCCCCTGACCCCCAAACCCTGCCCCCCAACCCCAAACACCCCTGACCCCAAACCCCTGCCCCTGACCCCAAACCCCCCAACCCCAAACCCTGCCCCTGACCCCAAACACCCCCTGACCCCCAAACACCCCCTAACCCCAAACCCTGCCCCTGACCCCAAACACCCCCTGACCCCCAAACCCTGCCCCTGACCCCAAACCCTGCCCCCTGACCCCAAACCCTGCCCCCTGACCCCAAACCCTGCCCCCTGACCCCAAACCCCCCTGCAGCCCCCAAATCTCCCCTGACCCCAAACCCCTGCCCCCTGACCCCAAACACCCCTGACCCCAAACCCCCCCCTGACCCCAAACCCTGCCCCTGACCCCAAACCCTGCTCCTGACCCCAAACCCTGACCCCTGACCCCAAACCCTGCCCCTGACCCCAAACCCTGCCCCCTGACCCCAAACACCTCCCTGACCCCAAACCCTGCCCCTGACCCCAAACCCTGCCCCCTGACCCCAAACCCTGCCCCTGACCCCAAACCCTGCCCCTGACCCCCAAACCCTGCCCCCTGACCCCAAACACCCCCTGACCCCAAACCCTGCCCCCTGACCCCCAAACCCCCCCTGACCCCAAACACCCCCTGACCCCCCCAAACCCTGCCCCCTGACCCCAAACCCTGCCCCCTGACCCCAAACCCTCCCTGACCCCAAACCCTGCCCCTGACCCCCAAACCCCCCCTGACCCCCAAACCCCCTGACCCCCAAACCCCCTGACCCCCAAACCCTCCCTGACCCCCAAACACCCCCTGACCCCAAACCCTGCCCCTGACCCCAAACCCCTGCCCCCTGACCCCAAACCCTGCCCCCTGACCCCAAACACCCCCCTGACCCCCAAACCCTGCCCCCTGACCCCAAACCCTGCCCCCAACCCCAAACCCTGCCCCCTGACCCCAAACCCTGCCCCCTGACCCCTCAGTGACCCCCTGACCCCAAACCCCCTGAGCCCCCGAAATGTCTCCCTGACCCCAAACCCTGCCCCCTGACCCCAACCCCCTGAGCCCCGAAATGTGCCCCCAGCAAGCCTGTGAGATGGTTCTGGACATCCTGCGGGAGCGCGACCAGGGCGGCTTCGGGGAGCGCTCGGACTACGGGGCCCGGCTGGGCGGGGGCATCGACGTGAGTGGGACCCTAAAACCCCTGATTTTGGTTCAAAAATCTCTACTTTTATTGTAAAACTCCTGATTTCAGCTCAAAAATCTCTGCTTTTATCATAAACCCCCTGATTTCAGCTCAAAAATCTCTGCTTTTATCCTAAAACCTCTGATTTCACCTCAAAAATCTCTGCTTTTACCCAGAAAATGTTTGGCTTTACCCTAAAACCTTTGGTTTCTCCCCAGAAAACCCCATTTGTATCCCCATCGATGGGAGTGCTGACCCTAAAATCTTTCATTTCATCACAATCCCCCCCATTTTTCACCCCAAATCCCCCATTTTTCCCCCCCCAGGTGCCGGTACCGCGGCACTCCGTGGGGGTGTCCCAAATCCCCCATTTTTCACCCCAAATCCCCCATTTTTCACCCCAAATCCCCCATTTTTCACCCCAAACCCCCCTTTTCCCTCCCCCAGGTGCCGGTACCGCGGCACTCCGTGGGGGTGTCCCAAATCCCCCATTTTTCACCCCAAATCCCCCATTTTTCACCCCAAATCCCCCATTTTTCACCCCAAACCCCCCATTTTTCACCCCAAACCCTGTCTTCCTCAGGTGCCGGTACCGCGGCACTCGGTCGGGGTGTCCCAAACCCCCCGTTTTCCACCCCAAATCCCCCATTTTTCACCCCAAACCCCCCATTTGTTCCCCCCAGGTGCCGGTACCACGGCACTCGGTCAGGGTGTCCCAAATCCCCATTTTCACCCTCAAACCCCCCATTTTTCCCCCAGGTGCCGGTACCGCGGCACTCCGTGGGGGTGTCCCAAATCCCCCATTTTTCACCCCAAACTCCTCTTTGTTCCCCCCCAGGTGCCGGTACCCCGGCACTCGGTCGGGATGTCCCAAGCTCCCCATTTTTCACCCCAAACCCCCCCTGTTTCCCCCCCAGGTGCCGGTACCCCGGCACTCGGTCGGGGTGGTGATCGGGCGCAGCGGGGAGATGATCAAGAAGATCCAGAACGACGCCGGGGTGCGGATCCAGTTCAAGCAAGGTCTGTTTGGGGTTGGGATCCCGATCCCAAAACCCCCCCTGGCCGGGTTTGGGGTGTGGGGACACTCCCTGAGCCCCCACCCCCAAAAACCCCCCCTGGCCGGGTTTGGGGTGCGGGGACACCCCCTGAGCCCCCCACCCCCCAAAAAACCCCGCAGACGACGGGACGGGCCCAGAGAAGATCGCCCACATCATGGGACCCCCCGAGCGCTGCGAGCACGCGGCCAGGATCATCCAGGACCTGCTGCAGAGCCTCCGGGTAACTGGGAGCACTGGGGATACTGGGAGCACTGGGAATGGGTGTGGGGCGTTATGGGATCATCCAGGACCTGCTGCAGAGCCTCCGGGTAACTGGGGATACTGGGGATACTGGGAGCACTGGGAATGGGGTGTGGGGGCGTTATGGGATCATCCAGGACCTGCTGCAGAGCCTCCGGGTAACTGGGGATACTGGGGGCACTGGGAGCACTGGGAATGGGGTATGGGATCATCCAGGACCTGCTGCAGAGCCTCCGGGTAACTGGGGATACTGGGAGCACTGGGAGCACTGGGAATGGGGTGTTATGGGATCATCCAGGACCTGCTGCAGAGCCTCCGGGTAACTGGGAGCACTGGGGATACTGGGAGCACTGGGAATGGGGTGTGGGGATGTTATGGGATCATCCAGGACCTGCTGCAGAGCCTCCGGGTAACTGGGGAGACTGGGAGCACTGGGAGCACTGGGAATGGGGTGTGGGATCATCCAGGATCTGCTGCAGAGCCTCAGGGTAACTGGGGAGACTGGGAGCACTGGGAATGGGGTATGGGGACACTATGGGATCATCCAGGACCTGCTGCAGAGCCTCAGGGTAACTGGGGAGACTGGGAGCACTGGGAATGGGGTGTGGGGACACTATGGGATCATCCAGGACCTGCTGCAGAGCCTCCGGGTAACTGGGAGACTGGGAGCACTGGGAATGGGGTGTGGGGACACTATGGGATCATCCAGGACCTGCTGCAGAGCCTCCGGGTAACTGGGAGCACTGGGAGCACTGGGAATGGGGTGTGGGGGTGTTATGGGATCATCCAGGACCTGCTGCAGAGTCTCCGGGTAACTGGGAGCACTGGGGATACTGGGAGCACTGGGAATGGGGTATAGGGGTGTTACGGGATCATCCAGGACCTGCTGCAGAGCCTCCGGGTAACTGGGAGCACTGGGAACACTGGTGGGGGGTCAGGGAGGGGTCAAGGAGGATTTTTGGGGGCCAGGAGCTGTTTTCAGGGGGGGTCATGAAGGTTTGGGGGGTCAGGAAGTTTGGGGGTCAAGGAGGTTTGGGGGATCAGGAGGTTTGGGGGGTCAGGAGGTTTGGGGGATCAGGGAGGTTTGGGGGTCAGGAGGTTTGGGGGATCGTAGGAGGTTTGGGGGGTCAGGAGGTTTGGGGGTCAAGGAAGTTTTGAGGGAGTCAGGAGGTTTGGCGTGCTCAGGGAGGTTTGAGGAGTCAGGGAGGGTTTTTGGGCTGTTGTTTTGGGGGTCTGGGGGTTCGGGGCCGTTCTGCCCCCCCCTGAGCCCCCTCCCCTCTCTCCACAGAGCGGCCCCCAGGACCCCCGGGCCGGGCTGCCCCAGGGGCGGGCCGGGGCGGGGCCAGGGCAGTTGGGGCCCCCCCGGGGGGGAAATGACCTTCTCCATCCCCACCCACAAGTGTGGGCTGGTCATCGGCAGAGGTGAGAGGGGCTGGACCCCCAGACAGACCCCCAAAATACCCCCTGAACGTCCCCAAAATCATCCCCAAACAGCCCCCAAAATATCCCCTAAAACATCCCCCTGGGACCCCCCAGACAGACCCCAAACACCCCCTGAACATCCCCAAAACATCCCCAAAACATCCCCCAAAACATCCCTAAAACATCCCCCTGGGAACCCCAGACTGACCCCAAACACCCGGGGGGGGGTTTGGGGGCACAGAGGAGTTTGGGGGTCCCCTCTCTGACCCAGGGGGGTTTGGGGGTCCCAGAGGGGTTTTGGGGTCCCCTCTCTGACCGGGGGGGTTTTTGGGTCCCCTCTCTGACCGGGGGGGTTTTGGGGTCCCCTCTCTGACCCAGAGGGGTTTGGGGGTCCCAGGGGGTTTTTGGGGTCCCCTCTCTGACCCGGGTGGTTTTGGGGTCCTCTCTCTGACCTGGGGGGTTTTGGGGTCCCCTCTCTGACCCAGAGGGGTTTGGGTGTGCCAGGGGGGTTTTGGGGTCCCCTCTCTGACCCGGGGGGGTTTTGGGGTCCCCTCTCTGACCCTGGGATTTGGGGGCAGGGGGGGAGAACGTCAAGGCCATCAACCAGCAGACGGGGGCGTTCGTGGAGATCTCGCGGCAGCTGCCCCCGAACGGGGACCCCAACTTCAAACTGTTCGTCATCCGCGGGACCCCCCAGCAGATCGACCACGCCAAGCAGCTCATCGAGGAGAAGATTGAGGTGGGGGCACCCCAGGGACCCTGAGACCCCTCCCCAGGGACCCCAACAACCCCAGGACCCCCAAAACCCCTCCCCAGGACCCCCAAAATCCCCCCAGACCCCCCAGCAGATCGACCACGCCAAGCAGCTCATCGAGGAGAAGATTGAGGTGGGGGGACCCCAGGGACCCCAAAAACCCCTCCCTGGGACCCCAAAAACCTCAGGGACCCCAAAACCCCCTCCCTGGGACCCCAAAATCCCCCCAGACCCCCAGCAGATCGACCACGCCAAGCAGCTCATCGAGGAGAAGATTGAGGTGGGGGCACCCCAGAAACCCCAGGGACCCCAAAAACCCCTCCTTGGGACCCCAAAAACCCCCCTAAAACCTTCTGCAACACCCCCAAAACCTCCACAACACCCCCAAACCTCCCTGGGGCTCCCAGAAAGTGCCCTGGGGTCCCCCAGCCCCGCTGTGACCCCCTTTGCCCCCATGGTCCCCCAGCCCCATTATGACCCCCTTTGCCCCCCAGGGTCCCCTGTGCCCCAGCCCTGTTGTGACCCCCTTTGCCCCCTAGGGTCCCCTGTGTCCCGTGGGTCCCCCAGCCCATTATGACCCCCCAGGGTCCCTGTACCCTCATAATGACCCCCTTTTCCCCCAGGGTCCCCTGGGTCCCCTGTGTCCCCCAACCCATTATGACCCCTTTGCTCCCCCAGGGTCCCCTGTGTCCCCCTGTACCCCATTATGACCCCCTTTGCTCCCCAGGGTCCCCTGTGTCCCCAGCCCCATTATGACCCCCTTTGCCCCCCAGGGTCCCCTGTGTCCCGTGGGTCCCCCAGCCCCATTATGACCCCCAGGTCCCCTGTGTCCCCTGTACCCCATTATGACCCTTCCCCCCAGGGTCCCCTGTGTCCCCAGCCCCATTTTAACCCCCTTGCCCCCAGGGTCCCTGTACCCATAATGACCCCTTCCCCCAGGGTCCCCTGTGTCCCCAGCCCCATTTTAACCCCCTTTGCCCCCCCAGGGTCCCTGTAGCCCCATTATGACCCCCCTTTCCCCCCAGGGTCCCCTGTGTCCCCCAGCCCCATTTTAACCCCCTTTGCCCCCAGGGTCCCTGTACCCCATTATGACCCCCTTTCCCCCCAGGGTCCCTGTGTCCCCTGTGTCCTCCAGCCCCATTTTAACCCCCTTTCCCCCCCAGGGTCCCTGTACCCCAATATGACCCCCTTTCCCCCAGGGTCCCCTGTGTCCCGTGGGTCCCGGGCCCGGCCCCGGGGGTCTCCCCGGCCCCGCCGGCCCCATGGGCCCCTTCAACCCCGGACTCTTCAGCCAGGGCCCCCGGTGTCCCCCGCAGTGAGTACCGCCTTGGGGGGTGGGGGGTCCTGGGGCCTCCCACTCTGACCCCCTGTCCCGCAGCCCCGGGGTCCCCCACCAGTACCCCCAGGGCTGGGGCAACGCCTACCCCCAGTGGCAGCTGCCGCCCCCACGACCCCAGTGAGTACCTCCCTCCGGGGGCTTTGGGGGTTTGGGGGCTCTGGGGGCTCTGGGGACCCCCGGGCTGACCTGGGGGCTTTGGGGGGGTAAGTGGATCCCGATGGTGTGTGGGGTGAGACCCCCGGGTTGTGGGGGTGGTTTGGGGTTTGGGGGGTCTCCTGATGATGGGGGCTCTCTGAGTTTGGGGGTCTCAGAGTTTAGGGGGTCTCAGAGTTTAGGGGGTCTCTGAGTTTCAGGGGTCTCTGAGTTTGGGGGGTTTCTGAGTTTGGGGGTTACTCCGTGGTTTGGGGCAGAAAAAGAGGGGCATGGACCCCAAGTCTGTGTGGGGTGAGACCCCTTGGTTTAGGGGGGATCCTTTGGGCTTTGGGGGTGTCTCCTGGCTTTTGGGGGTCTCTGGGTCATTGGGTGTCTCTGTGTCTCTGTCTCTATTTATGGGGGGGGTCTCTGTTTATGGGGGTCTCTGTGCCCCTGGGGGTCTCTGTGCCCCTGTCTCTATTTCTGGGGGTCTCTGTGTCCTGGGGGTCTGTGTGCCCTGGGGTGTTCTTCTGTTTATGGGTGGGTCTCTGTTTATGGGGGTCTCTGTTTATGGGGGGTCTCTGTGCCCCTGGGGGGTCTCTGTGCCCCTGGGGGTGTCTCTGTGCCCCTGTCTCTGTTTATGGGGGGGGTCTCTGTGCCCCTGGGGGGGTCTCTGTGTCCCTGTCTCTATTTATGGGAGTCTCTGGGTTCTGGGGGTCTCTGTGCCCCTGGGGTGTTCTCTATTTCTGGGGGTCTCTGTGCCCCTGGGGGTCTCTGTGCCCCTGGGGCCGCCCCCAGAGCCCCCCCAGCTGACCCCAGTTTGGGGCCCCCCCCAGGCAAGGCGCCGGCCCCGGACCCCAACGCGGCGTGGGCCGCCTACTACTCGCACTATTACTAGCAGCCCCCGGGCCCGTGCCCACCCAGCCCCCCGCCGCCCCCGTGCAGGGGAGCCCCACAGCCCCCCACCGGCCAGGCCGACTACACCAAGGCCTGGGAGGAGTACTACAAGAAACTAGGTGGGTTTTGGGGGGGCTCTGGGACCCCCACACCTCCCCGGGACGCCCAAACCTCCCCGGGACCCACAGACATCCCCAGGACCCCCAAACCTTTCCTGGGACTCCCAAACCTCCCTTGGGACTCCCAAACCTCCCCTGGGACTCCCAAACCTCCCCTGGGACCCCCAAACCTCCCCTGGGACCCACAGACATCCCCTGGGACCCCCAGACATCCCCTGGGAACCTCAAACATCCTGTGGGACCCCCACACCTCCCCCAGGACCCCCAGATATCCCCTGGGACCCCCCTAAATCTCCTGTGGGACCCCCAAACCTCCCCTGGGAACCCCAAACCCCCCCTGGGACCCCCAGACATCCCCTGGGACCCCCAAATCTTCTGTGGGACTCCCAGACCTCCTGTGGGACCCCAAAGCTCCCCTGGGAACCCCAAACATTTCCTGGGACCCTCAAACCTCCCCGGAACCCCCAGACGTCCCCTGGGAACCCCAAACCTCCTGTGGGACCCCCCCAGACCTCCCCTGGGACTCCCCCAAATCTCCTTTGGGACCCCAAAACCTCCCCAGGACCCCAAAACCTCCCCTGGGACCCCAAATGTCCTGTGGGACCCCCCAGACCTCCCCAGCAATCCCCAAACCTCCCCTGGGACCCCCAACCCCCAATGACCCCCTGGGACCCCCAAACCTCCCTGGGACCCCAGTGACCCCCAAAGCCCCCGCTGCCCCCCAGTGACCCCCTGCCCCCGCTGCCCCCCAGGGCAGCAGCCCCAGCAGCCGGGGCCCCCTAGCAGGATTACACCAAGGCCTGGGAGGAGTATTACAAAAACAAGGTGAGAGCCCCCAAATCCCACCCTGGGGGCTGGGGGCACCAGGACCTCCCCGTGCCCTCACCCACCCCCACCCCCAGCGGCCCAGGTGGCGTCGGGCGGTCCTGAGCCCCCGGCCCCCAGCCCGACTACAGCGCGGCCTGGGCAGAGTATTACCGGCAGCAGGCGGCCTACTACGGGCAGACTCCGGGGGCCGGCCCCGCGCCCCCGCCCAGCAGGGACAGCAGGTACGGACCCCAGACCCCTGGGACCCTCCAAATCAACCAGGGACCCCCAAACCCCCACATCCAACCAGGGACCCCCAAACCCAACCCTACTACGGGCAGACCTCGGGGCCGGCCCCGCGCCCCCGCCCAGCAGGGACAGCAGGTACGGACCCCACTCCCTGGGACCCCCAAATCAACCAGGGACCCCCAAACCCCCCACATCCAACCAGGGACCCCCAAACACAACCAGACACCCCCAAACCCAACCCTACTACGGGCAGACCCGGGGGCCGGCCCTGCGCCCCCCGCCCAGCAGGGACAGCAGGTACGGACCCCGGGACCCCCTGAGACCCCCAAACCCCCTGAGACCCCCAAACCAACCAGGGACCCCCAAACCCCCTGGGACCCCCCAAACCCCCCTGGGAACCCCCCAAACCCAACCAGACACCCCCAAACCCAGCCTGGGACCCCCCCAAATCCAAACCCTACTACGGGCAGACTCGGGGCCGGCCCGCGCCCCCCGCCCAGCAGGGACAGCAGGTACGGACCCCAGACCCCCTGGGACCCCCAAATCAACCAGGGACCCCCAAACCCCCTGAGACCCCCACATCCAACCAGGGACCCCCAACCCCCTGGGAACCCCCAAACACAGCCAGGGACCCCCAAACCCAGACACCCCAAATCCAAACCCTACTACAGGCAGACCCTGGGGCCGGCCCTGCGCCCCCGCCCAGCAGGGACAGCAGGTACGGACCCCAACCCCTGGGACCCCTAACACAACCAGGGACCCCCAAACCCCCTGAGACCCCCAAATCCATCCTGGGAACCCCCACATCCAACCAGACACCCCCAACCCAACCCTACTACGGGCAGACTCTGGGGCCGGCCCTGCGCCCCCGCCCAGCAGGGACAGCAGGCACGGACCCCAACCCCTCTGAGACCCCCAAATCAACCAGGGACCCCAAACTCCCCTTGGGACCCCCCAAATCCTCGTTGCCCCCTCCCCCCAGCAGGGATAGCGGAACCGACCCTGAGACCCCGGAACGTTCCTGGGACCCCAACACTCCCCCACCCCCCGATCCCCGGGGGTTTGGGGAGCCCCTCCTGACCCCCCCTCCCCACAGGCTCAGTGACCCCACCGTGCCCCTCTGTGACCCCCTTTGTTTTGGGCGAGCGGCCGCGGCCGGAGGGGACGGAGACCCCTGGGACCCCCGGGACCCCCGGAACCCCCTAGGACCCCTCAAACCCCCGGGACTCCCCGGGACTCCCTGGGACCCTCAAACCCCCTGGGAGCCCCTCAGGACCCCCCGGGACCCCTCAAACCACCCTGGGACCCCCAGGACCCCTCAAATCCCCTGGGACCCCCTGGGACCCTCCCGGGACCCCCTAAACCCCTGGGACCCCCTGACCCCCCGGGACCCCCGGACCCTCAAACCCCCCGGGAGCCCCTCAGGACCCCCAGGGAATCCCCCAAACCACCCTGGGACCCCCTAGGACCCCCAGGGATCCCTGGGAGACCCCAGGACCCCTCTGGGTCCCCCCAAAATCCCCGGCCCTGCCCCTGGAAGCCCCCCAGGACTCCCCGGGACCCCCCGGAGCTGCTCGAACATTCCTGGGAGCCACTGGGGACCCCTGACTCCCGGGGACCCCCAACTTCCCCCCAGGACCCCCAAAGTGCCCCCAGGGACCCCCTGGGACCCCCAGCTTCCTCCCCAGGACCCTCAACTCCTCCCCAGGACCCCCAAAGTGCCCCAGGACCCCCTGGGACCCTCAACTTCCCCCAGGACCCCCAAAGTGCCCCAGGGACCCCTGGGACCCTCAACTTCCCCCCAGGACCCCCAAAGTGCTCCTGGGACCCCTGGGACCCCCTGCCCCTTCCCCCAAATCCCCAGGGACCCCCACCCTCCCCCTGGGACCCTTTGGGACCCCAACCCCTCCTTGGGGACCCCCAATCCTCTCCCCAGACCCTCCCAGGGACCCCCGGGACCCCCAACTGCCCCCCAGCCGCCCTCTGGGGTCCCCAAATTGTCCCAGAGCCCCCTGGAGTCCCCAAACCCCTGGGCCTCCCCCAAAACCTCTCCTGGGGACCCCCGACCTCCTCCCCCTGCCTCTGGGGTCCCCAAATCCCCTGGGGTCCCCAAAGCCCTCCGGCCGCCCTCCTCCCCCGTGTCCGTCTGGAGGCTCCGCCCACCGAAGGCTCAAAGTTTTTACTTTTTACCGCTTGTTTTTAACTTCACAAATAAACGGAACAAAACCCCTGGCTGGGCCCCAGTCCTGCGGCTCTGGGGCTCAAAAGGGGGCTTTTGGGGTGGGAAATGGGGTCTTGGGGTAAAAATGGGGCCTCGGGTGCAAGGGGAGGTTTGGGGGGAAAAATGGGATTTTGGGGAATGAAAGAGGGGAGTTTGGGGGTGAGAAGGGGGTGGGGCTGGGTTGGTCGGGGTAAAAATGGGGGGGTTGGGGTAAAATGGATTTTTGGGGTGGGAAATGGTGGGGGGTGAAAAAAGGAGATTAAAAAATACGATTCTGGGGGAAAACGGGGTTTGGGGGGGGGAAAACGGGGAGGGTTTGGGTTGGGGGTGAAAAAATGCTGGTTTAGGATGGAAACGCCTTTTCGGGGTGAAATGGGGGGTTTTGGGGTGAAAAAAACCCTTTTTGGGGTGAACAGGGTGGGTTTGGGGTGAACAGGGCAGGTTTTTGGGGTGAAAAAGCCCCTTTTTGGGGTGGTCAGGGCGGGTTTTGGGGTAAAAAAGCCCCTTTTTGGGGTGAAAAGGGGGGTTTTGGGGTGGAAAAGCCCCTTTTTGGGGTGAACAGGGCAGTTTTTGGGGTGAAAAAGCCCCTTTTTGGGGTGAACAGGGCCGGTTTGGGGTGAACAGGGCGGGTTTTGGGGTGAAAAAGCCCCTTTTTGGGGTGGTCAGGCCGCGGTTGCCATGGCAACGCACCGGGACCCGGATGCACTTCCGGATCCGGTCACGTGACGGAGATTCCTCCAATCTCGCCCTGTCGTTCCTGTCACGTGACAGAGGCACTTCCGGCCGGGCGGTGTCGCGCGGTGGGGGCGGTTTGGGGGTCCTGGGGGAATTTGGGGGTCCGGGGGTCTGGGGGCCCCAGGGAGGGTGGGGGGTCCGGGGGTCCTGGAGCCGCTTTGAGGGCTCTGGGGTGTCCTGGGGTCTCAGGGGTGTGGGCGGTCCGGAGGGGTTTGGGGGTCCCTGAGGGAGGTTTTTTTGGGGGGCTTATGAGGGGCTGGGGGCCCGGGGGCACTTTGGGTGTCAGGGATGGCTGGGGGCTGGGGTCCCTGTGGGGGCTGGGGGCGTGTCCCAGGTTTTGGGGGATCCCTGATTTTGGGGGTCCCTGATTTTGGGGTTCCAGATTTTTTTGGGGGGGTCCCCCCAAGTTTTGGGGGTCCCCAGGGCAGGCCGTCAATTCCTTTCCCCCCCCTCAGGACCCCCCTGAGCCGGATCTGGGGGAGCCCCCAGCCCCCCTGCCAGGATGGCCACGCTGGTGAGTGGGGGAACCCCAAAAACCCCCAGGGGTCCCCAAAAACACTCCTGGGACCCCCAAATGCCCTCTTCGAGCTCCCCTGAGCCCCCGCGTGTCCCCCCAGGGCAGCAGCTCCCAGGTGGTCTCCGAGTACGTGGTGAGGGTCCCCAAGTGAGTCCGGGGGGTCGGGGGTTTTGGGGAGGGGTCTCGGAGGGATTTGGGGTCTTGGGGGGTCTGTGGGTTTTGGGGGATCTCGGAGGGGTTTGGGTGGTCCGAGGTGTTTGGGGTTTTTTGGGGGTTTTGGGGGGTTGGGGTGATTTGGGGAGTCTGAGGTGTTTGGGGGTTTTTGGGGTGATTTGGGGATTTGTGGGGATTTGGGGGTCTGAGGTGTCTGGGGGTTTTGGGGTGATTTGAGGGTCTGAGGTTTTTTTGGGGGTTGGGGGCTTTTGGGGTGATTTGGGGGTTTGGGGGTCTGAGGTGTTTGGGAGTGTTTGGGGGTTTTTGGGGTGATTTGAGGGGTCTGAGTTTTTGGGGGTCTGAGGTGTTTGGGGGTTTTGGGGGTTTTGGGGGTCTGAGGTGTTTGGGGGTTTTGGGGGTGTTTGGCAGGGATTTGGGAGGGTCTGAGGGTCCCTTTTTCCCCCCCCCAGGAACACCCCAAAAAGGTACAACATCATGGCCTTCAACAGCGCCGACAGAGTCACCCTGAGCGCCTGGGCACAGGTTTGGGGGATTTTGGGGGGTCCTGGGGGTCCCACAGAGTCACCCTCAGCGCCTGGGCACAGGTTTGGGGGGTCCTGGGGGGTTTGGGGGTCCTGGGGTCCCACAGAGTCACCCTGAGCGCCTGGGCACAGGTTTGGGGGTCCTGGGGGTTTGGGGGTCCTGGGGTCCCACAGAGTCACCCTGAGCGCCTGGGCACAGGTTTGGGGGTCCTGGGGGTTTGGGGGTCCTGGGGTCCCACAGAGTCACCCTGAGCGCCTGGGCACAGGTTTGGGGGTCCTGGGGGATTTGGGGGTCCTGGGGGTCCTGGGGTCCCACAGAGTCACCCTGAGCGCCTGGGCACAGGTGGGGGTCCTGGGGGATTTGGGGGTCCTGGGGGTCCTGGGGTCCCACAGAGTCACCCTGAGCGCCTGGGCACAGGTGGGGGTCCTGGGGGATTTGGGGGGTCCTGGGGGATTTGGGGTCCCACAGAGTCACCCTGAGCGCCTGGGCACAGGTTTGGGGGTCCTGGGGGGTTTGGGGGTCCTGGGGGTCCTGGGGTCCCACAGAGTCACCCTGAGCGCCTGGGCACAGGTTTGGGGGTCCTGGGGGGTTTGGGGGTCCTGGGGGTCCTGGGGTCCCACAGAGTCACCCTCAGCGCCTGGGCACAGGTGGGGGTCCTGGGGGATTTTGGGGTCCTGGGGGGTTTGGGGGTCCTGGGGGATTTTGGGGGTCCTGGGGGTCCTGGGGTCCCACAGAATCACTCTGAGCGCCTGGGCACAGGTGGGGGTCCTGGGGGGGTTTTGGGGGGGATTTGGGGATATTTTGGGATGTTTTGGATCCTGAATCAGGCCAGGATGGAGCGGGACATGAGCAACAAGCGGATCTGGGGGTGTTTGGGATATTTTGGGATATTGGGGATATTTGGGATGTTTTGGGGATATTTTTGGGATCCCAATCCCAATTCCAGGCCCGCATGGAGCGGGACATGAGCAACAAGAGGATCTGGGGATATTTGGGATATTTTGGGGATATTTTGAGATATTTTTGACCCCTCTCCAGGCGAGGATGGAGCGGGACATGAGCAACAAGCGGATCTGGGGATATTTGGGATATTTTGGGATATTTGGGATATTTTGGGATATTTGGGATATTTTGGGGATATTTGGGATATTTTGGATCCTGAATCAGGCGAGGATGGAGCGGGACATGAACAACAAGTGGATCTGGGAATATTTCGGGATATTTGGGATATTTTGGGGATATTTTGGGATCCCAATCCCAATTCCAGGCCAGGATGGAGCGGGACATGAGCAACAAGCGGATCTGGGGATATTTGGGATATTTTGGGGGATTTCAGGATATTTTGGGGATATTTTGGGATGTTTTGGGTCCTGAACCAGGCCAGGATGGAGCGGGACATGAGCAACAAGCGGATCTGGGGATATTTGGGATATTTGGGATATTTGGGATATTTTGGGGATATTTTGGGGTATTTGGAATATTTTGGGGGTATTTTGGGATCCCAATCCCAATTCCAGGCCAGGATGGAGCGGGACATGAGCAACAAGCGGATCTGGGGATATTTTGGATATTTGGGGGATATTTGGGGATATTTTGGGATATTTTTGACCCCCCTCCAGGCCAGGATGGAGCGGGACATGAGCAACAAGCGGATCTGGGGATATTTGGGATATTTGGGGATATTTTGGATATTTTGGGGATATTTTGGGGTATTTTGGATCCCTCTCCAGGCCAGGATGGAGCGGGACATGAGCAACAAGCGGATCTGGGGATATTTGGGATATTTGGGGATATTTTGGGATATTTTGGGGATATTTTGGGGTATTTTTGGGATCCCAATCCCAATTCCAGGCCAGGATGGAGCGGGACATGAGCAACAAGCGGATCTGGGGATATTGGGGATATTTGGGGTATTTTGGGGATATTTTGGGATCCCAATCCCAATTCCAGGCCCGCATGGAGCGGGACATGAGCAACAAGCGGATCTACGCCGAGGAGGAGCTCCCCGAGTCCGGGGCCGGCAGTGAATTCCATCGGAAGCTGCGGGAGGAGGCGCGGAGGAAAAAATACGGGATCGTCCTGCGGGAATTCCGGGCCGAGGATCAGCCCTGGATCCTCAGGGTCAACGGGAAAAGCGGCAGGAAGTGAGGGGGGAGGGGGTGGGGAGGGAACGGGTGGGATTGGGATGGGAATGGGATGGGGATGGGAAAGGGAGGAGGGATGGGAAGGGGGTTGGAGGGGGTTTTTAATGGGATTTCGGGTTTTTGGGGTCTCTGACCCCCCCATGTCCTGGGTTCGGGGAGTGAAGGAGGAGTTGGGATTTTCTGGGGAGGATTTGGGGTTTTTGGGGAGGATTTGGGGGTTTTCTGGGGACGATTTGGGTTTTTCTGGGGAGGATTTCGGGGTTCTGGGGGATGTTCTGGGGGTTTTTGGGGGGTGTTCTGGGGGTTTTTTGGGGGTGTTCTGGGGTTTTGGGGGTGTTCCAGGGTTTTTTTGGGGGTGTTCCGGGGGTTTTTTTGGGGGTGTTCTGGGGTTTTTGGGGGTGTTCTGGGGTTTTTTTGGGGAATGTTCCAGGGGTTTTTAGGGGGTTCTGGGGTTTTTGGGTCCCTGACCCACCCGTGCCCCCACAGGTTCCAGGGGATGAAGACAGAGTTTAGGGAGAATTTGGGGTTTTTTTGGGGAGGTTCTGGGGGGTGTTCTGGGGGTTTTTTGTGGGGTGTTCAGGGTTTTTGGGGTGTTCCAGGGTTTTTGGGGGTGTTCTGGGGTTTTTTGGGGGTGTTCTGGGGTTTTTGGGGGTTTTCTGGGTTTTTTGTGGGGTGTTCTGGGGTTTTTGGGGTCCCTGACCTCCGTGCCCCCGCAGGTTCAGGGGGGTGAAGAAGGAGTTTAGAGAGGATTTGGGTTTTTTTTGGGGGAGGTTCTGGGGTTTTTTTGGGGAGGTTCTTCTGGGTGTTCTGGGGTTTTGAGGGGTGTCCAGGGTTTTTAGGGGTGTTCCAGGGGTTTTTTGGGGTCCCTCACCCCTCGTGCCCCCTGCAGGTTCAGGGGGTGAAGAAGGAGTCTGGGGAGAATTTGGGGGTGTTTTGGGGAGGTTCTGGGGGGTGTTCTGGGGTTTTTTGGGGGGTGTTCTGGGAGTTTTTGGGGGTGTTCTGGGTTTTTTTGGGGGTGTTCTGGGGTTTTGGGGGTGTTCTGGGGTTTTTTGGGGATGTTCTGGGGTTTTTGGGGTGTTCTGGGGGTGTTCCAGGGTTTTTGGGGGTGTTCTGGGTGTTTTTTGGGGTGTTCTGGGGTTTTTGGGGTCCCTGACCCTCTCTGTGCCTCCCGCAGGTTCAGGGGGTGAAGAAGGAGTTTAGGAGGATTTGGGGTTTTTTGGGGAGGTTCTGGGGGTTTTTTGGGGTGTTCTGGGGTTTTGGGGGTGTTCTGGGGTTTTTGGGAGTGTTCCAGGGTTTTGGGGAGTGTTCTGGGGTTTTTGGGGGTGTTCTGGGGTTTTTTGGGGGGTGTTCCAGGGGTTTTTTGGGGAAGTTCTGGGGTTTTTTGGGGGTGTTCTGGGGGTGTTCTGGGGGTTTGGGGAGGTTTTGGGGTTTTTTTGGGGTCCCTGACCTCCTCGTGCCCCCCGCAGGTTCAGGGGGTGAAGAAGGGGGGGGTCACCGAGAACGCCTCGTACTACGTGTTCACCCAGTGCCCCGACGGCGCCTTCGAGGCCTTCCCGGTCAGGAACTGGTACAACTTCACCCCCCTGGCCCGGCACAGGACCCTGACGGCCGAGGAGGCCGAGGAGGAGTGGGAGAGGTGACCCCAAAACCCCTCCTGAACCCCCCCAGTCCCACCCCAACCTCCCCTCACACCCAAACACCAGGAGGAAAAAGGTCCTGGAGCACCGAAAATCCCAAATCCCTCTTGAGACCCCAAATCCCCTAAATGCCCCCCCAAATCCCCCTAAATGCCCCCCAAATCCCCCTGAACACCTCCAAATCCCCCAGGAGGAACAAGGTGCTGAACCACTTCACCATCTCCCCAAATCCCCCTAATTGCCCCCAAATCCTCCCTAAACACCCCAAAATCCCCCCCAGGAGGAACAAGGTGCTGAACCACTTCACCATCTCCCCTGAGCCCCCAAATCCCCTAAATGCCCCCTAAACACCCCTAAAATCCCCCCCAGGAGGAACAAGGTGCTGAACCACTTCACCATCTCCCCCTGAGCCCCCCTAAATGTCCCCAAATCCCCCCTAAACACCCCGAAATCCCCCCCAGGAGGAACAAGGTGCTGAACCACTTCACCATCATGCAGCAGCGGCGCCTGCGGGACCAGGACGAGGAGGAGGAGGAGAAGGACAAGGGCAGGAAGGCCCCAGGAAAGGGGGGGGGGCTGCGGATCCACGACCTGGAGGAGGATCTGGAGCTGAGCTCGGAGAGCAGCGAGGGCAGTGAGGCCGAGGGTGAGGGGGAGACCCCGAAACCGCCCCCAAATGCCCTCAAAACTGCCCTGAAACACCCCAAAACTGCCCCAAAATACCCCAAAACTGCCCTGAAACACCCCAAAACTGCACCGAAATACCCCAAAACTGCCCTGAAACACCCCAAAACTGTCCTGAAACACCCCAAAACTGCACCAAAACACCCCAAAACTGCCCCAAAATACCCCAAAACTGTCCTGAAATACCCCAAAACCGCCCTGAAATACCCCAAAACTGTCCTGAAATACCCCAAAATAGCTCCAAATCTACACCAAAAGTACCCTGAAATACCCCAAAATAGCTCTAAATTCATCCCAAAACTGCCCTGAAATACCCCAAAACCCACCCCAAAATACCCCCCATGGCGAGGTTGAGACCCCGAAACCGCCCCCAAATACCCCGAAATAACTCCAAATCCACCCCAAAACTGCCCTGAAATACCCCAAAACCGCCCCAAAATACCCCAAAATAGCTCCAAATCTACACCAAAACTACCCTGAAGCACCCCTAAACTGCCCTGAAATACCCCAAAACCCATCCCAAAATGCCCCCCACGGCGAGGCTGAGGGTGAGACCCTGAAACCGCCCCGAAACACCTCCAAATAACTGCAAATCCACCCCAAAACCACCCTGAAATACCCCAAAACCCACCCTAAAATGTCCCCCACAGTGAGGGTGAGGGGGAGACCCCAAAACCGCCCCCAAATACCCTCAAAACTGCCCTGAAATACCCCAAAAACTGTCCTGGAATACCCCAAAATAGCTCCAAATCTACACCAAAACACACCCCAAAATACCCCAAAACCCACCCCAAAACACCCCCTCTGAAACACCCCCAAAACCACCCCAAAATACCCCAGAACACCCCAAAACCCACCCCAAAATGTCCCCCACAGCGAGGCCAAGGGTGAGGGGGAGACCCCGAAACCGTCCTGAAACAACCCCAAATAACTCCAAATCCACCCCAAAACTGCCCCAAAATACCCCCAAAACTGCCCTGAAATACCCCAAAACCCATCCCAAAATACAGCCCCTGAATACCCCCAAAACCACCCTGAAATACCCCAAAATAGCTCTAAATTCATCCCAAAACTACCCTGAAATACCCCAAAACCCACCCCAAAATACCCCCCATGGCGAGGCTGAGACCCCGAAACCGCCCCCAAATACCCCGAAATAACTCCAAATCCACCCCAAAACTGCCCTGAAATACCCCCAAAACCACCCTGAAATACCCCAAACCCACCCCAAAATACCCCCATGGCGAGGCTGAGACCCCGAAACCGCCCCAAATACCCCGAAATAACTCCAAATCCACCCCAAAACTGCCCTGAAATACCCCCAAAACCACCCTGAAATACCCCAAAACACCCCAGAACCCACCCCAAAATACCCCCCTGAAACACTCACAAAACCACCCTGAAACACCCCCAAAACTGTCCTGAAAAACCCCAAAACACCCCAAAACCCACCCCAAAATGTCCCCCACAGCGAGGCCGAGGGTGAGACCCCAAAACACCCTCAAAACTGCCCTGAAATACCCCAAAACCACCCTGAAATACCCTCAAACACTCCAAAACACCCCCCAAAATACCCCAAAACCCACCCCAAAATACCCCCCACAGCGAGGCCAAGGGTGAGGGGGAGACCCCGACACTGCTTTGAAATACCCCAAAAAACGCCCCGAAATACCCCAAAATGCAATTCATCCCTAAATTCATCCCCCCGAAATACCCTCAAAACCACCCTGAAACACCCCCAAAACTGTCCTGAAATACCCCAAAACCCACCCCAAAATGTCCCCCATGGCGAGGCTGAGGGTGAGGGGGGTACCCTGACACTTTTAAAATACCCCAAAAACTGCCCAGAAACACCCCCAAAACACCCCAAAACCCACCCTAAAATGTCCCCCACAGTGAGGCTGAGGGGGAGACCCCGAAACTGCCCCCAAATACCCTCAAAACTGCCCTGAAACACCCCAAAATACCCCCAAAACCCACCCTGAAATACCCCCCATGGTGAGGCTGAGAGTGAGGGGGAGACCCTGACACTTCTTTGAAATACCCCAAAAACTGCCCTGAAATACCCCAAAGCACTCCAAAACCCACCCCAAAATAACCCAAAACTCATCCCAAAATACCCCCCCCCGAAAAACCTCCAAAACCGCCCTGAAACACCCCCAAAACTGTTCTGAAATACCCCAAAACACCCCCCCTGAAACACCCCAAAACACCTCAAAACCCAACCCAGAATACCCCCCACAGCAAGGCCAAGGGTGAGGGGGAGACCCCGAAATACCCCAAAATAGTTCCAAATCTACACCAAAACTACCCTGAAATACCCCAAAACCCACCCCAAAATACCCCCCTCGAAAAACCCCCAAAACTGCCCTGAAAACACCCCCAAAACACCCCAAAATACCCCCCAGAGCGAGGCTGAGACCCCAAAACCACCCCGAAATCCCCCTCTGGGGCTCGGAGGAGGAGGGGGAGGGAGCAGGAAGGGCTCAGGGGGGCTCAGGGGGGCCGTGACCCCCCCAGCCCACCCCCCAAACCCGCAGGGGAGAAGGGCCCGAGGCCGAAGGGGCCGCCGGGGGCGAGGAAGAGGAGGAGGAGGAAGGGCAGGAAGGGCTCGGAGGACGAGGCCCTAGAGGACAGCGACGACGGCGACTTCGAGGGGCAGGAGGTGGATTACATGTCCGACGGCTCCAGGTGGGCTGGGGGCTCTGGGGGATTTGGGGGCTTTGGGGGATTTTGGGGGTCCTGGGGATGAGGGGGCATTTTGGGGCTCCTTGGGGGTTTTGGGGAGTCCTGGGAGATGACAGGGGCATTTTGGGGCTCCAAGGAGGGGTTTGGGAGGCCCTGAGGAGGTTTGGGCCCCTCCCCAGACCCCTCTGAACCCCCCAATTCCCCTGGGGACCCCCAAATCCCTCCTTGACCCTCCCCCCAAACCCCCTCCCCTCCCAACAGCAGCTCGGCCGAGGAAGACCCCGGCAAAGCCAAAGCCCCCAAGGAGGAGGAGGAAGGCCCTAAAGGTGGGTCTGGGGTGGGAGACAGGACCAGGCTCCTCCTCCTCCTGGCCTTGGGGGTTTTTGGGGGTTTCTGGGGTGTTTTGGGGGGTGAGACCCTCGTGTGCCCCCCCAGGCATCGACGAGGCGAGCGAGAGCAGCGAGGAGAGCGAGGAGGAGAAGGGGGAGGAGAAGGAGGAGGAGGAGGAGGGAAAAGCCACCCCCACCCCCCAGGAGAAGAAAAAAGAGAGGTGAGACCCTCCCCCCACCCTGCCCCGGGGTGAGACCCCCAAAAAGGGGCTTGATGAGATGTGGGGCCCCAGAGAGCAGCGACGAGTCCCAGACCTCAGAGGAGAGCGACATCGACAGCGAGACCTCCTCGGCCCTGTTCATGGCGGTGAGGGGGCCTGGGGGCCTGGGGCTGCCCAGGGGGGCCTGGGGCTGCCCAGGGGGCTTTGGGGGCCCAACTCCCTGGGGGCTGGGAGCAGTTTTGGGGCTGTTTTGGGGGATTTGGGGTTCCAGGGTGTTGACACTGAGACCTCCTCACTCCTGTTCGTGGTGGGCCCTGGGGGGTCCCAAGGCAGGTCCTGGGGTCCCACCCATTCAGGGAGGATTTGGGGTCCCAGGGGGTCCTTCAGGGGTTTTGGGGCTGTTTGGGGTCTCTGTGGGGAGGTTCGGGGGTTGCCGTGGACAGAGGGGCGTCGTCAGTGCTGTCCCTGGGCCTTTGGGGGGTCCCAGGGGGCGTTCTGGGGGTCCTGTGAGGTTTTGGGCCCCTGACTCTGTTTCCCCCCAGAAGAAGAAGACTCCCCAAGCGGGAGCGAAGGGCCTCGGGCAGCAGCTCCAGGGGGCCTCGGCCTGGGACCCCACATACTCGGGGCACTGGGGACCCTCCGGGCAGCGGCGGCGGCTGGAGCAAGGTGGGGCGTGGGGGCTTTGGGGGCCAGGAGGGGTTGGGGGCAGGGAGGGGCTTGGGGGCTGAGGGGGCTTTGGGGGCTTACAGGGGATGGGGGCGATTTGGAGGGTCCAGGGAGGGTTTTGGGGGGGGCTCAGGTGGGATATTTGGGTGGTTGGGGTCCCCAAAGCCCCCCCTTACTCCCCTGATTTCTCCCCCCAGGCCGCAGAGCCCCCCAGGGGGGGTCGGAGCCCCCAGAAGAGGCTGAAGGCGGAGCCGGGACCCCCTTCGGGCAAGAGCACCCCCCAGCCCCACTCGGGCAAGAGCACCCCCAGCAGCGGGTGAGGGGGGTTTGGGGGACGCCCTGGGGGTGCTGGGTGTCTGGGGGGGTTGTTGGATATCTGGGGGGCTGCCCAGATCCCATATGTGGTTTTTGGGGTCCCCCAGCGAGGTGCAGCTGACGGAGGAGGCCGTGCCTGGGACCTGTCCCAGCGCCCTTGGGGGGGGTTGTTGGATGTTTGGGGGGGTTGTTGGGTGTCTGTGGGGCTGCACCAATCCCACAGCTGTTTTTGGGGTCCCCCAGCGAGGTGCAGCTGACGGAGGAGGCCGTGCCTGGGAGCTGTCCCAGCGCCCTTGGGGGTTGTTGGATATCTGGGGGGGTTGTTGGATATCTGGGGGGGTTGTTGGATATCTGGGGGGTCTGTACCAATCCCCTATGTGGTTTTTGGGGTCCCCCAGCGAGGTGCAGCTGACGGAGGAGGCCGTGCCTGGGACCTGTCCCAGCACCCTTGGGGGGGGTTGTTGGGTGTCTGAGGGGGTTGTTGGGTGTCTGGGGGGGTTGTTGTGTATCTGTGTGGGGGGTTGTTGGATATCTGGGGGTCTGTACCAATCCCCTATGTGGTTTTTGGGGTCCCCCAGTGAGGTGCAGCTGACGGAGGAGGCCGTGCGCCGTTACCTGTCCCGCAAGCCGATGACCACCAAGGACCTGCTGAAGAAGTTCCAGACCAAGCGCACGGGGCTCAGCTCCGACGCCACCGTCAACGCGCTGGCCCAGCTGCTCAAGCGCCTCGACCCCGAGAGGAAGCTCATCGCCGACAAGATGCACTTCTTCCTCAAGGAGTAGGGACCCCCCGGCTGGGGGGGGGGACAGAACCACACAGGGAACCCCAAAATCCCACAGGGAACCCCAAAATCCCACAGGGACCCCCCCAAACTCACAGGGAACCCCAGAACCCCACAGGGAACCCCAAAATCCCCCAGGGACTCCCCCCAACCCACAGGGAAACCCCCAACCCACAGGTACCCCCCCAGAACCCCACAGGGCCCTCCCTCCTCATTTCCCACCAACAAACTCACTCCTCCCTCCCCTCCACCCCCAAAATTTGGAGTCTCCGAAGAACCCCTGGAATTTCCCCTGGGGTGGGGGGGGAAGATGCTCCCCCCCCCTCAATGTGTTTTTTTTGATCAGAATTAGCATTTTTTGCTATTTTTAGGCTTTTTTCCCCCACTTTGTGCCAGTTCTTTATCCCCCCTGTGGGGGATGGAATGTCCAAGGATTTTTTGGGGGGTGTGGGTGGATCATTCCTCCCAACCCCCCCTCAGCTGCCATTAACCCTTTGGAGGGGTCCTCACATCCCCCTCCTCTCCATGCCTGAGGGGGGGGCTGATCCCCCCACCCCAAAAATGCCCCCAAAACCCCGGGGTGGGTTTTCACCCCTCCTTTCTCCTCCTCGTGTTTTGGGGGGGTCTCCACCATCCAACCCCCCCAAACACCTCAGGGGGGTCCCGGGAGGGGATTCAGTGCCTGCCCCCCCCCACCCCCAAGGGCAGCTCAGGGTTAAACCCCCTCCCAACCCCCCAAACCCCCCAAACTCCTCCCCTCCCCAACCCCATAAATGGGGCCGGGCCGGTTTTTGGGGGGGGTCTCAGATGGCGCTGCCGGGGGCACCGAGCTCGTCCTTCCTCCCCCTCCTCCTCCTGGTCCTGCTGGGGGGTCCGTGCGAGCCCCCGCGCCGTGCGGGCTGCGCAGCGTGGCCGTGGGGTGGGGGCGCTGGGGCTGGGCCACCCCTCCCCCGAGACCGTCGTGTTCCGCTACTGCGGGGGGGTCTGCCCCGCGCCCCCCACCCTGCACGGGCTGGCGCTGCGGGCGCTGGGCGGGGGTCCCGCCCAGCCCGAGGGGCCGCAGGGGGGGGGGCCCTGCTGCCGCCCCACCCGCTACGAGGACGTGGCCTTCCTGGACGAGGGGCTGCGCTGGCAGCGCCTGCCGCGGCTGTCGGCGGGGGCCTGCGCCTGCCTGGGGTGAGACCCCCCCCAAATAACCCCCCTGAGCCTGCCTGGGGTGAGACCCCCCCCAAATAACCCCCCTGCGCCTGCCTGGGGTGAGACCCCCCCCAGAAACCCCCATGGGACCCCTGAGCCCCCAAAGAACCCCCTGACCTTCCCTGCGCCTGCCTGGGGTGAGACCCCCAAAAATACTCCCCTGCACCTGCCTGGGATGAGACCCCCCAGAAACCCTCCCTGCGCCTGCCTGGGGTGAGACCCCCTGAAATAACCCCCTGGGACCCCTGAGCCCCCAAGACTTCCCTGACCCTCCCCTGCGCCTGCCTGGGGTGAGACCCCCCAGAAACCCCTCCTGTGCCTGCCTGGGGTGAGACCCCCAAAACCCCCGGGACTCCCCTGTGCCTGCTTGGGATGAGACCCCCGAAATAACCTCCTTGCACCTGCCTGGGGTGAGACCCCCAAAAATCCCCCTGGGACCCCTGAGCCCCCAAGACCTCCTGACCCTCACCTGCGCCTGCGTGGGTGAGACCCCCAAAATAACCCCCTGACCCTCCCTGTGTGTGCCTGGGGTGGGACCCCTCCCAAAATACCCTGAAACCCCCACCCCCTCAGTGACCCCCTCTCTGCACCTCAACCCCCCTCCCCATTTCACCTGACCCAAAATCCTCCCTGGTTATTTGGGGTCCCATCCCAGGCCCCCCAAACCCCTCCTGACCCTTCCCCCAAACCTCCCCGCCAGCTGGGGGGCTTTGAGGGTCCTCATCCCCCCTCAGAACTGCCCTCTGAGTGTCCCCAGGGGTGCTTCGGGGTCCCAAAACCTCCCCGAAGCAGCCCCCATGAAGAGGTCACTGTTTATTGGGGGCTCCTGGGGAGCCCGGGGGTCCCAATAAATGCTGGGAGGTCGCTCAGAGTGTCCGGGGCGCCTCTGGGGGAAAAGGGGTCAGGGGGTTTGGGGGTCCTGGGGAAGGTTGGTGCATCTGGGGGTGTTTGGGGGATTTTCAGGACCTCAGGGGGAAATCTGGGGGCCCTGGGGGAGAATTTGGGGTGTGGGGGGTTGGGAGTCCCCAGGAGTGTTTTAGGGGATCCCAGGGCGTTGTTTTGGGATTAGGGGGGGTCTCACCAAGGGAGGTTTGGGGGTTCCAGGAGTGTTTATTTGGGGGCTCTCACCAGGGTAGGTTTGGGGGTCCCAGGGGTGGTTCTGGGGTTCCCAAGGGTGGTTCTGGGGGGGGTTTTGGGGGTTCCCAGGGGTGTTTTTGGGGGGTTCCCAGGGGTGATTTTGGGGGGTTGCCAGGTGGGGTTATTTTGGAGTTCGCAAGGGTGTTTTTTTGGGGTTCCCGGGGTGGTTTTGGGGGTTCCCAGGGGTGTTTCTGGGGGGTTCCCAGGGGTGGTTTTTTTGGGGGTTCCCAGGGGTGTTTCTGGGGTTCCCAGGGGTGATTTTGGGGGTTCCCGGGGGTGTTTCTGGGGTGTGTTCTCGGGGTCTCTCACCGGGGGGGTCGTTGCGGAAGATCAGGCTCACCCTCCTGCCCCGGGGCACCCTCAGCCCCCCGAAAAACGACTCCTGGTCCGGGAGGATCTCGTGGGTGAAATCAAACCGGGCACTGCCCCTGGGGGCAACGGGGAGGGGCTCAGGGGGGCAACAACAACCCCGGGGGGGGCACCAAAACCGTCCCAAAGCCCCCCAGCCCACCTGAGCACACACAGGGACCCCCAGCCCCACCTGAGCACACCCAGGGACCCCCAGCCCACCTGAGCACACCCAGGGACCCCCAGCCCACCTGAGAACACAGAGAGACCCCCAGCCCACCTGAGCACACACAGGGACCCCCAGCCCACCTGAGCACACACAGGGACCCCCAGCCCACCTGAGCACGTAGAGGGACCCCCAGCCCACCTGAGCACAGAGAGGGACCCCCAGCCCCACCTGAGCACGTAGAGGGACCCCCAGCCCCACCTGAGCACACACAGGGACCCCCAGCCCACCTGAGCACACAGAGGGACCCCCAGCCCACCTGAGCACGTAGAGGGACCCCCAGCCCACCTGAGCACGTAGAGGGACCCCCAACCCACCTGAGCACACAGAGGGACCCCCAGCCCACCTGAGCACACACAGGGACCCCCAGCCCCACCTGAGCACACCCAGGGACCCCCAGCCCACGTGAGCATGCAGAGGGACCCCCAGCCCACCTGAGCACACCCAGGGACCCCCAGCCCACCTGAGAACACAGAGAGACCCCCAGCCCACCTGAGCACACACAGGGACCCCCAGCCCACCTGAGCACACACAGGGACCCCAGCCCACCTGAGCACGTAGAGGACCCCCAACCCACCTGAGCACACAGAGGGACCCCCAGCCCACCTGAGCACACACAGGGACCCCCAGCCCCACCTGAGCACACCCAGGGACCCCCAGCCCACGTGAGCATGCAGAGGGACCCCCAGCCCACCTGAGCACACCCAGGGACCCCAGCCCACCTGAGAACACAGAGAGCCCCCAGCCCACCTGAGCACACACAGGGACCCCCAGCCCACCTGAGCACACACAGGGACCCCAGCCCACCTGAGCACGTAGAGGGACCCCAGCCCACCTGAGCACAGAGAGGGACCCCAGCCCCACCTGAGCACGTAGAGGGACCCCCAGCCCCACCTGAGCACGTAGAGGGACCCCCAGCCCCACCTGAGCACACACAGGGACCCCAGCCCACCTGAGCACACAGAGGGACCCCCAGCCCACCTGAGCACGTAGAGGGACCCCCAGCCCACCTGAGCACGTAGAGGGACCCCCAACCCACCTGAGCACACAGAGGGACCCCCAGCCCACCTGAGCACACAGAGGGACCCCCAGCCCACCTGAGAGGGACCCCCAGCCCACCTGAGCACAGAGAGGGACCCCCAGCCCACCTGAGAGGGACCCCCAGCCCACCTGAGCACACAGAGGGACCCCCAGCCCACCTGAGCACGTAGAGGGACCCCGGCTCCAGCAGCAGCTCCAGCCAGTCCTGGGGGTCCCGCAGGCTGCGCAGCCTCAGCACGCTCGGGGACAGCAGGGACAGCCCCGCGATGGTGCAGCCGCAGAACTGGGGGGGTCACAGGGGTCAGGGGGGGTCACAGGGGTCAGGGGGGTCCCCAGTGGGGGTCCCAGCCCCTCCCGGCCCCCCCAGCCCCCTGACCTTGGCGCTGTCCACGTGGGGCCCCACGTGCCCCCCCGGCAGCAGGTCCAGGACGTGGATGCGGGCGCGGGGGGCTCTGGGGAACAGGGGGTCACCCGGGCCAGCAGCGCCCGCCCCGCCCCCAGCACCTCCCGCTCGGTCTCGCGGTACCTGCAGATGGCCTGGGGGGGGGGAAAGGTGGTGACCTTTGACCTCTGAGAAACCCCTCCCCACGAACCACAGGACACCCCCTCCCGTGACCTCAACTGATCCCAGGACCCCTCCATGACCCCCGACCCCTGTGACCTCCTCGTGACCCCCTGTGACCACTCCTGACCCCCTGACCCTGTGAGTCCCCCAGCCCTTCCCTTGACCCCTGACCCCTCAGACCCCCTTGAGTCCCCCAGCCCTCCCCTGAGCCCCCAAGGACCCCCATTTCTGTGACCCCTCAATGATCCCCCATCCCCTCTGACCCCTCAGACCCCCTGAGCCCCCAGCCCTTCCCGAGCCCCTGACCCTCAGACACCCCCAGTGACCCTCAGACCCCTCAGAGCCCCCCAGTGGCCCCTCCCGCTCCTCACCCGGTCCCAGTGGTCGCTCTGGTACCGCCCTCGGCGCAGCCCCGGCTCCACCTCCCGCAGCAGCTCCGCGGCCTCCGCGTCGCTCACGAAGCGGCCCCGGACGAGGCGAGGCCGCGGAGCCGCCGGGCCAGGCCCGGGCTGCGGGCCCGGAGCAGCGCGGGGTCCCCCGAGAGCCCCGCAGGGTCCCCCGAGCACCCCCGGGACCCCCCGGGCAACCCCTGAGACCCTGCAGGACCCCCTGAGGAGCCCCAGGACCCCTGGGACCCCTGAGCCCCCGGGACCCCTGAGGGCGGCGGCGACCCCGGCCCGCCACAGGCCGCGCGCGCGGGGCATGACGGGATGGGCGCGGCGCCCCCTGCCGGCCCGGAGGACTCAGCCGGGAGTGCGCGGCGCCCTCTGCCGGCTCGGAGGACTCAGCCGGGAGCGCGCGGCGCCCCCTGCCGGCTCGGAGGACTCAACCGGGAGCGCGCGGCGCCCCCTGCCGGCCCGGAGGACTCAGCCGTGAGCGCGCGGCGCCCCCTGCCGGCCCGGAGGACTCGAACGGGAGCGCGCGGCGCCCTCTGCCGGCCCGGAGGACTCGAACGGGAGCGCGCGGCGCCCTCTGCCGGCCCGGAGGACTCGGAGCGGGGGCACATTCACAGACCCCCTCCCCAAAAAAGAACCCCTCACAAATCCCCCCCCGCTGTGCCCCCAGTCCCCTCACCCCGCATTACTGAAAGCCTCTCAGCCCCTCCCTGGCCTCTCAACCCCCACCCCAATCACTCACAGCCCCTCCTCAAAATACCCCAAATCCCTCCCACACCCACCCTCAACTCTTTCCCCAATCCCCACCAGAACCCCCTCTGTGCCCCCCTCGGTTACTCACAACCCCCCACTACACCCCAAATCCCCCACTCCCTCAACCCTTTCCTGGACCCCCAGAACCCCCTCTGTGCCCCCCAGTATACCCCAAATCCCCCACAGCCTCTGCAAACCCCCCCATCCCTCTCCCTGGTCCCCCAGGTGCCTCTTGACCCCCTGCCAAACCTCCCCATGACCCCCACGATCGCTCCTCCCACTCCCCAAACCCCCTGTGCCCCCTGACCCCCTTTAGGCCCCCACCCTTCCAAGACCCTCTGCCCCCTGACTCTCTGTAGGCCCCCCACCCTCCAAGATCCCCTGTGCCTCTGACTTCTAAAACGCCCCCAGGCCTCATTTGGGCTCCACATCCCTTTATTTCGTTGGGGGGTCCCGGGGAGCTCTCAGGGGCCGAGGGCCCTGGGGTCGTGAGGGCTCCTTCTGCACGAGGCAGGGCTCGTCCTCCCCGGGCGGGGGTGCACCAGCACCTGGTCCAGGAGCCCAAATTCCTGCGCCTCCACCGGGCTCAGGTACCGGTCCCGCTCCATGGCCGCCTCTGGGGCACGGGGGAAGGTCAGGGGGTCAGGGGCTCAGGGGGTCAGAGGGCTCAGGGGGTCAGGGGTCTCAGGGGGTTAGGGGGTTCAGGGGGCTCAGGGGTCTCAGGGGGTTCAGGGGGGCTCAGGGGGTCCAGGGGAGTCAGGGGGCTCAGGGGGTCAGAGGGTCTCAGGGGGTCAGGGGGGCTCAGGGGGTCCCTCACCGATGACGTGCAGGGGCTGCCCCGTGTGCTTGGCGTAGAGCCCGTTGATTTGTCTCTTGAGCTGCAGAATCTCCTCGGCCTGGATGGCGATGTCGGTGGCCTGGCCCTGGGGGGAGAGAGGGGATTGGGGGTGCTCAGGGGGGTCCTGGGTCCCTATTACACTCCCACCCCCACTGAGGTCCCCCACTCCCACCCACAGCAATTTTGGGGTGTCCCTGTCCCTCCCCCCTCGCCCGCCCGCTGTTTTTAGGGCCCCCTCCCCCATTTTTAGGGCCCCCCTGGGAAGGACCTGCCAAAGCCAGGGAGGGGGAAACATTTTTGGGGTCTCCCCTCCCCATATACCCCCTTTCCAGGGTCCTCCACCCCCTGCACCCCCTGTTTTTGGGGTGTCCCACAAGGCGGGCGTTGGGCAGGGGGAGCTGGGGATGCCCGGAGCGCCCCTCCCTGTGCCCCAGACCCCCATTTTGGGGTCCCCCATGCCCCATTTTTGGGGTGTCCCTTACCCGTACCCCTCCCGAGGGCTGGTGCACCACGATGGGGGTGTTGGGCAGGGTCCCCTGTCCCCCATTTTTGGGGTGTATCCCCTTACCCTGGCCCCCCCCGAGGGCTGGTGCACCATGATGGGGGCGTTGGGCAGGGTGTGGGGGTGTTGGGTTCCCCATCCCATTCCCCATTTTTGGGGTGTCCCCCCTTACCCTGGCCCCCCCCGAGGGCTGGTGCACCATGATGCGGGCGTTGGGCAGGGTCCCCCATCCCCTGTCCCCCCATTTTTGGGGTCCCCCTTACCCTGGCCCCCCCCGAGGGCTGGTGCACCATGATGGGGGTGTTGGGTCCCCTGTGCCCCCCATTTTTGGGGTCCCCCTTACCCGTGCCCCCCCCGAGGGCTGGTGCACCATGATGGGGGCGTTGGGCAGGGTCCCCTGTCCCCCATTTTTGGGGTGTCCCCCCTTACCCTGGCCCCCCCCGAGGGCTGGTGCACCATGATGGGGGCGTTGGGCAGGGTGTGGGGGGGTTCCCCATCCCATTCCCCATTTTTGGGGTGTCCCTTACCCGTGCCCCCCCCGAGGGCTGGTGCACCATGATGCGGGCGTTGGGCAGGGTCCCCTGTCCCCCATTTTTGGGGTGTCCCCCCTTACCCTGGCCCCCCCCGAGGGCTGGTGCACCATGATGGGGGCGTTGGGTCCCCTGTCCCCCCCATTTTTGGGGTGTCCCTTACCCTGGCCCCCCCCGAGGGCTGGTGCACCATGATGGGGGCGTTGGGCAGGGTGTGGGGGGGTTCCCCATCCCATTCCCCATTTTTGGGGTCCCCCTTACCCGTGCCCCCCCCGAGGGCTGGTGCACCATGATGGGGGCGTTGGGTCCCCTGTCCCCCCCATTTTTGGGGTCCCCCTTACCCTGGCCCCCCCCGAGGGCTGGTGCACCATGATGCGGGCGTTGGGCAGCGCGTGGCGCAGCCCGGGCGCGCCGGCCGCCAGGAGCAGGGACCCCATGCTGGCCGCCTGCCCCACGCACCACGTGCACACCGGGGTCAGCACGTACTGCATCGTGTCGTAGATGGCCAGCCCCGACGTCACCGAGCCCCCTGGGGGGGGGACAGCTCGTTAGGGGCACCCCCAAACCCCCCTGGGGACCCCTGAGCCCCCTGGGGGGGGGAACAGCTCGTTAGGGGCACCCCCAAACCCCCCCACAACTCACCCACAGCCCCGACGTCACCGAGCCCCCTGGGGGGGGGACAGCTCGTTAGTGACACCCCCAAATCCCCTGGGAACCCCCGAGCCCCCCAGACCTCACCAATGACAGCCCCGATGTCACTGAGCCCCCTGGGGGGGGACAGCTCGTTAGGGGCACCCCCAAACCCCCCTGGGGACCCCCCAGACCTCACCAAAAACAGCCCCGACGTCACCGAGCCCCCTGGGGGGACACAGCTCGTTAGGGGCACCCCCAAACCACCCTGGGGACCCCCCAGACCTCACCAGTGACAGCCCTGACGTCACCGAGCCCCCTGGGGGGGGACATCTCGTTAGGGGCACCCCCAAACCCCCCCAGACCTCACCCACAGCCCCGACGTCACCGAGCCCCCTGGGGGGGGACAGCTCGTTAGGGGCACCCTCAAACCCCCTGGGGACCCCCAAGCCCCCATCAATGACAGCCCCGATGTCACCGAGCCCCCTGGGGGGGGGGACAGCTCGTTAGGGGTACCCCCAAACTGCCCTGGGGACCCCCGAGCCCCCCAGGACCTCACCCACAACCCCGACGTCACCGAGCCCCCTGGGGGACACAGCTCATTAGTGACACCCCCAAACCCCCCTGGGGACCCCCCAGACCTCACCCACAACCCCAACACCCCCTCCCAGCGCCACAGATGGCCAGGCCTGAGGGCTCCCAGCCCCCTGGGGGGGGACACCCCCAAAGCCCCCCCGGGACCCTCCAAACTGCCCCCCTTTTGCCCCCAGATGGGATGGGGTGGGGGGGGGACACTCACCTGCACCAACAGCTCCAAAGGGGGGTCCCTTCTCCCCTCTGACCCTTCCAGACCCCCATAAACCCCCCCCCAAAAAAAAACTCCCCCTCCTTGTCCCCTGACCTCTCAGCCTCCTGAGCCCCCAGAGCCCCCAGAGCCCCCCTCACCGGGGCATGTTGATGTACATGTGGATGGGTTTCTTGTTGCTCTCGGACTGCAGGAACAGCAGCTGGGCGATCACCAGGCTGGCCAGGCTGTCGTCGATCTGGGGGGGCCCAGGGGGGTCAGAGGGTCCCAGGGCAGGGTTTGGGGTCCCAGGGCAGGGTTTGGGGTCCCAGGGCCCCAAAGGGGTACCCACCGGGCCCATGACGCAGACGATTCGCTCGCGCAGCAGCCGCGAGTAAATGTCGTAGGCGCGCTCGCCCCGGCCCTGGGGGCAAACAGGGGTCCAGGGGGGCCAGGGGGCAATCAGCGCTCCCCCGGCCCTGGGGCAAACAGGGGTCAGGGGGTCAGGGGGCAATCAGCGCTCCCCGGCCCTGGGGGCAAACAGGGGGTCAGGGGGTCAGGGGGCAATCAGTGCTCCCGGCCCTGGGGGCAAACAGGGGGTCAGGGGGCAATCAGCGCTCCCTGGCCCTGGGGGCAAACAGGAGGTCAGGGGCAATCAGTGCTCCTCCGGCCCTGGGGGGCAAACAGGGGGTCAGGGGGGTCAGGGGGGGTCAGGGGGCAATCAGTGCTCCCCTGGCCCTAGGGGGCAACAAAGGGGGTCAGGGGGCAAACAGGGGGTCAGGGGGTCAGGGGGGTCAGGGGCATCAGCGCTCCCCGGCCCTGGGGGCAAACAGGGGGTCAGGGGGGTCAGGGGGCAATCAGTGCTCCCCGGCCCTGGGGAGCAAACAGGGGGTCAGGGGGAGCCAGGGAAAAGGCAGAGATTTTTGGGGGTGGTTGTGGGGGTCTAGGGGGTTGGGGGTCTGGAAGGGTCAGAGGGAGATGGGACCCCCACACACACGATCAGTGCCCCCAGCCCTGGGGGCAAAAGGGTGAGGGGAGTCGGGGGTGGGGTGGGAATGAAGGGAGGGTTTTGGGGGCAGTTGGGGACTTTGGGGGTCGGGGGGACTCTGGGGGACACGGAGGGAGGTGGGGGGTGGGAAAAGAGGTTGAGGGAATTTGAGGGGGGTCTGAAGGGGTTTTGGGGCCCAGGGGGCCCGCAGGGAGTCTGGGGGCTCAGCCCCCCACTCACCGTCTGCTCCACCACGATGGGGATGAGGGCGTGGGGGCGCGGGCAGGGCCCGATCCGTGCAGGGAGCGCCGGGCACCGGCCCAGGCCCGGCCCAGGCAGCGCTGGGGGCCAGGGGGTCACTGGGACCCCGAGAGCCCCCAGGACAGCCCTGAGACCCCCGAACCGGGACCCTCCAAAACCGGGACACCCCAGACACCCCCTCCCCCGAGAGTGGGAACCCCCAAAAACCCCAAAAACCCCAAAACTGAGACACCAAACCCCCCGCCCCAGTTACCGGGACCTACCGGGACCCTCAAATTACCAGGACCACCCAGTGCCCAGGACCCCCAAATCCTGAGACCCCCACTCAATGCCAGGGACCCCCTCAATTCCCGGACCCCCTCAATTCCTGGACCCCCTCAATCCCAGGACCCTCCACAATTCCAGGACCCCCTCAATTCCCAGGACCCCTGCAATTCCCAGGACCCCCTCAATTCCCGGACCCCCTCAATTCCCGGACCCCCCAATTCCTGGGACCCTCCCTAATTCCCAGGACCCCTCCCCAATTCCCAGGTCTCCCCAATTCCCGGGGTCTCCGTCAATTCCAGGACCCCCTCAATTCCAGGACCCCCATTGCCGGGACCCTCCCAATTCCTGGGACCCCTGGCCCCCTGCCCCTCCCCCTCACCGCCAGCGGCCCCATCGCGCCCCGGAAGCGCTGGGGGACACGTGACCTGCAAACACGTGACTGCGCGTCCCTCCAGGCCACGCCCATTTCCCTTGCAAACCACGCCTCCCCGAAAGTCCCCGCCCACCCCGTCACGTGACGATCCTTCGCGAACTCCATTTCCCGCCGTGCCCCGCGGCGCGGCCGCCATGACAGCGCGGGGACAGCGCCATGACAGCGCCGGGAGCGGCCCCGGGACGGCCCCACGGCCCCGTCACAGCCCCGAGCACAGCCCCGCGCACCCGACAGCTCGCGCTGGGCCTCGGCGCCGCGTGACACTCCACCACACGGCGATCCCCCCACCCCCGCGTTAAACCCGGCCGCCTATGGCCTCATCAGCCCCAATTAACCCTCTCCCGGCCGCGCTAATTAGGGAAGGACGCCCTAAAAACACACGGGGGAAGACGTCATGCCTCTGTGACGTCACGAGGCGCCGCCACTGCCTCCCAAGGAGGGAGAACCACAACTCCCGGCAGGCCCTGCGGCCGCGCCCCGCCCCGCGGGACGATGATTGGCAGCGGCCCCACCGAATCGCGCTGCGCCAACTCTGCGCGCGGCCCCGCCTCCCCCCGCCCCCTCAGGAAGCGCTGACGGACGGGCGGTACAGCCAATCGCGTGCGGGAGGGGCGGGGTCTGAACGGAGAGACGGGCGATTTAGCCAATCGGCGCCGCGCAGCGCGGGGCGCTGGCCAATGGCGCGCGGGGGGCGGGAGCCGCGCGGACGGCCCCGCCCCGCGCCGAGGCGGGTAGCAACAGTTGCCCCGGTGAGGGACCAGGGAGGCCGCCATAGCCACGGTCACCGTGGCGACCGCGCTCCGGCCCGGCCCGGCCGCCGCCGCCGCCGGCCCGCGCCCTGCCGGGCCCCGTCGGCAACAGCAGCCGCGGCCCCGGCGGCGGGCGGAGCCCCCGAGGGGTCCCGGCGGCGGCCGCGGGCAGGTGGGTCCGAGCGGCGGGTCCAAGATGGCGGCGGGGGGTGAGAAGGAGGGGGCAGGGGCCCGGGCGCGGGGGAGGGGCGTGGCCTGAGCGCGCGGCGCGGTGATTGGCGGGCGGCGGGAGCCAATGGGGGCGCGCGGGGCGTGGCCGCGTGGGTGGAGTTGTGACGTCACCGGGGATGTCCGCGAGGGGGCGGAGTTCGAATGTGACGTCATTTAATGCGTGCTATATGACGTCATACACTGGTAATGCTGACGTCACCCCCGTGTTTTTTCTTCCCCACGCGCCACGGTGACGTCGCCTCCTCTTCCGTGACGTCACGCAGCCGTCGCCATGGCGACCCAGCCCTCCTATGTCACCGAGCTGACCGCGACGACGTCACAGCAGCAGCAGCAGCCGGCCCGCCCCCGCCGGTCCCACCTCTTTCGGGGCGGAGCTCCCCGGAGGCCCCGCCCCCACCGGAGCCCCCCGCCGCCCTCTGCCCCCCCGCGCCCAGCCCCCACCCCGCAGTTCATCGTGGTCACGGTGGCGGGTGAGACCCCAGAAACGACCCCCTGACCCCACCCCCAAATCTGGGGGGACCCCACGGCAGAGGGGGAGGGTCTGACCCGAATCTGCTGTTTCTGTCCCCAAAGCAGAGGGCTGCGGCCCCGAGGCACCGAGGCAGCCCCGCCTCGCGCCCCAGCCCGGGCCCAGCCCGGGGCCTAGAGTGCGAAAAGGGGAAACGTGGGGGGACCGGGGGGAAATTGGGTCAAAACCGTGTGGGAATGGGCAAAAACGCGCTGGGCTGGGCTGAAATGGGGTGAGGAAGCTGAAATGGGCTCAGGCGGTGCCAAATGAGGGGGTAAAACGGGGTGGGAATGGGGTAAAATGGGCAAAAAAAGGGGCTGGAGTGAGGGAAAGGGGCTAGAACGGGGCTGGAATGGAGCACAAGGGGGTGCTGAGGGGAGGGAAAGGGTAGCAAGTGGGGTGAAATGGTACAAAATGAGACTGAAAGGGGGTGGGAACGGGAGGAAAGGGGGGAAAAATGGGCTGGAATGGGGTAAAATGGCAAGAACGGGGCTGGGAGAAAGGCAGAACGGGACTGAAATGGGACAAAGCCAGGCTGACGGATGAAATGGGGCCTAAAAGGGGGTAAAAGGGGGTCGAGAAGGGTACAAGGGGGCCGGGAAGGGGCTGGGGGCTCCCCGGCGCTGCCCTGAGCTGACCCGGGGTCTCTGGGCCCCCCCCTCCATCCCCTGTGCCCCCAGCGCTCCCGGCCCCCAGCGCCACGGCCGCCCCAAGGAGGTGAGCGGGGCCCTCGGGGGGTGGTCGGGGGTGTTTGGGGGTCTCACCCTGACCCCCCCGCCCCGTTGTGCCCCCAGGTGCAGCAGCTGCCCCGGTGCAGCACGTGTTCCCCGCCCCCGTGCCCTACGTGGAGGGGGCGACGGCTCCTACCCCCACGGCCATGTGAGTGCCCCCAGGGGTGAGCCCCTCCCCATTTACCCCTGGGGTTCATTGGGGCCTCCCCCAGGGCTGAGCCCCCTCCCCATTTACCCCTGGGGTTCATTGGGGTCTCCCCCACGGCCATGTGAGTGCCCCCACCCACCCAGGGCTGAGCCCCCTCCCCATTTACCCCCGGGGTTCATTGGGGTCTCCCCCCCCCCACTGACCCCCCAAGTAATGTCTCCCCCTGGGTTTTGGGGGTCTCACCCCCCATCAGTGCCCCCCGTGCAGCCGCTGGGGCTCCTTCCCGTTCCTGGAGCCCCCGTGTTTGGGGGTCTCTGTGCTTGGGGGGTCTCTGGGTTTGTGGGGTGTGCCCCCTGTGTTTGGGGGGGTCTCTGGGTTGGTGGGGTCTTTGTGTTTGTGGGGAGTGCTTCCCATGATTTTGGGGTCTGTAGGTTTATTTTTGCTGTAATTGTGGGGTCTCTGTTTATGGGGAGTCCCTCCCGTGTTTTTGGGGTCTGTGTGTTTATGGGGTCTGTGTTTCTGGGGTCTCTGTTTATGGGGAGTCCCTCCCATGTTTTTGGGGTCTGACTCCCCCTTTTCCCCCCCCCCGCAGCCGCTCGGGCTCGTTCCCGTTCCCGGAGCCCCCCCTGTTCGGGCAGAGCTCGGGGGGCTTCTACGAGGCCGGGGGTGGGGGGGGTCCGGTGCAGCCCAGCCCGCCCCCCGCCCCCCAGCTCGCAGGCCCCCGCGAGGCGCAGCCGTGCCCATGTTCGTGGCGGGGAGGGGCGGGGGCCTGATCCTGGGCGCTGCCCCCGCCCCGCCCCCGCGCCCCCAGGGCGGCGCCGGCACCCAGGACCCCGGGACCCCGGCCCCGCCCCCGCCGGCACCTACGTCATCCAGGGGGCTACATGAGGGCGGGCGCGGCCTACGCGCACACCACCCGCGCCTCCCCGCCACGGTGAGACCCTCGGGGGCCCTTCTGGGGGTGCTGGGGCGGGCTTCGAGGGGGCTTGGGGTGGAGGGGGTGTGAAGGGGGGCTGAGGGGGTTTTTGGGGGTTGGGGTGGTGCAAGGGGGTTTTGGGGGTGTGAGGGGGTTTTGGGGGTGTGAGGGTGTTTGGGGTGCAGATGGGAGGGTTTGGGGGATGTGAGGGTGTTTAGGGTGCAGATGGGAGGGTTTGGGGTGCAGGTGGGAGGGTCTGGGGTGCAGGTGGGAGGGTCTGGGGTGCAGGTGACCCTCCCCCCGTGGCCCCCCCCCAGGTGCAGTGGCTGCTGGACAACTACGAGACGGCGGAGGGGGTGAGCCTGCCCCGCAGCGCCCTGTACTGCCACTACCTGCTGCACTGCCAGGGCCACAAACTGGAGCCCGTCAACGCCGCCTCCTTCGGCAAACTCATCCGCTCCGTCTTCATGGGGCTGCGCACGCGCCGCCTCGGCACCAGGTGGGACCAGAAACCCCTTAAACCCCCCCAAAAAACCCCCAAAACCCACCCCAAACTCACCCCAAACTCATCCGCTCCGTCTTCATGGGGCTGCGCACGCGCCGCCTCGGCACCAGGTGGGGACAGAAACCCCTTAAACACCCCCAAATCCCCCCAAATTCACCCCAAACTCACCCCAAACTCATCCGCTCCGTCTTCATGGGGCTGCGCACGCGCCGCCTCGGCACCAGGTGGGGCCAGAAACCCCTTAAACACCCCCAAATCCCCCAAAAACACACCCCAAATTCACCCCAAACTCACCCCAAATTCACCCCAAACTCATCCGCTCTGTCTTCATGGGGCTGCGCACGCGCCGCCTCGGCACCAGATGGGGACAAAACCCCCCCAGATCCCCCCAAAATCCCCCCCAAACTCACCCTCCGAAGCCCCCAGCGCCACCTGCCCGGGTGAAGCCCCCCAGAGTGATCCCCCTGCCCCCCTCTTTCCCCAGGGGTAACTCCAAGTACCACTACTACGGGCTGCGCATCAAGGCGGGGTCGCCGCTGCTGCGGCTCGTGGAGGACCAGCAGCACCTGGCCATGCGCCAGCAGCCCTTCGCCCAGAAACAGCGGTGAGGGGACCCCCTGAACGCCCCGGAAACCCCCCTGACCCCCCTGAAACCCCTGACCCCCTGAAACCCTCCTGAGCCCCCCAACCCCCTGAACCCCCAAAACCCCCTCCCTGTGCCCCCACCCCCTGCAGCCCTTTGCCCAGAAACAGCGGTGAGGGGACCCTCTGACCCCCTGAAACCCCCTGAAACCCCTCAAACCCTTCTGAGCCCCCAACCCCCAGACCCTCCCTGAACCCCCTAAAGCCCCTCCCTGTGCTCCCACCCCCTGCAGCCCTTCACCCACCAACAGAGCTGAGGGGACCCCCCAGGACCCTCCTCTCTGTGCCCCCTCCAGACCCTGCTGTCCCCCTCCTGAGCCCCTCCCAACCCCGCTGACCCCCATGCCCCCCAGGCTGAAGCCGGTGCAGAAAGTGGAGGGGGTCACTAATGGGGTGTCGGCGGGCCCGGCCCCCGGCATCCCCGACATCAGTGCCCAGGTGCAGCAGTACCAGCAGTTCCTGGGTGAGCAACAACCCCCACACACCCCTGCACCCCCAAACAACCCCTGTGGGGTGGGGAGACCCCCATTAATGACTCCCCCCTGACCCCCCAGATGCCTCCCGGACCCTGCCCGAGTTCCCCGAGCTGGACGTGCAGGGCAAGGGGGTCCCCGAGGGCGCGGGGGCCGAGGACCTGCGGGTGTTCCAGCAGCTCTACCGGGAGCACTGCGAGGTGGGGGCCCCTCCCCCAGCACCCCAAAACTGACCCTGCACCCTCCCCGGGGCTGGGGGAGCCCCCCCTGACCCCCCCTTTGCTGTTTCCCCTCCCTTTCCTTACGAAGGCCATCGTGGACGTGATGATCAACCTGCAGTTCTCGCTGGTGGAGACGCTCTGGAAGAGCTTCTGGCGCTGCAGTGGGGAGACAGAGGCGTGAGTGGGGAGGGGGGAGGCTGAAATGTGGGGGGGCCGAGGCTGGGAGGGGGTCCTGGGGGGGGTCCTGGGTGCACAGGGTGGGGTCTGCACTTCTGGCGCTGCAGTGGGAGGTGGAGCGTGAGTGGGGAGGGGGTGGGCTGGGCTGGGGGTCCCTGTGGGTGTCAGGGATGGGGTGGGATCCCCCCCTGGTGTTTCGGGGTGGGGTGACGCTGTGCCCCCCCCAGGCAGGAGGAGGCCGAGCGGCGCCTGCCCCGGCGGCGGTTGCTGCTCCTGGCGCGGCACGAGCCCGTCCTGCGCTGGGTGCGCGACTGCGACCACTGCCTGTACCAGGGGCTGGTGGAGATCCTGGTGCCCGACGTGCTGCGCCCCATCCCCAGTGAGATCTGAGCCCCACGGACCCCCCCCCAAATCTCCCACAACCCCCGAAGTGCCCCACAGTCCCCTAAACCCCCACATACCCCTAAGCCCCCAGCCCCCAAACCAGGCACAACCCCCTGCCCAGCACAACCCCCAAGCTTCCCCAACCCCTTCCAGGACAAACCTGCACCCCTCAACTGCCACCTCCAAACCTTCAAAACCTCCTTTGTGCCCTCTGACACCCCCCAAAGACCCCCCCAAAGCTCCCCCCCGACCCTCAAACCCCCCCTTTTCCCCCGAGGTGCCTTGACCCAGGCGATCCGTAACTTCGCCAAGAGCCTGGAGAGCTGGTTGGGGAACGCCATGGTCAGCGTGCCTGAGGAGATGGTCCGGGTCAAGGTGGGCTCTGGGGGGGATCTGGGGGGGCTGTGCCTGGTTTGGGGGGCCCGTGGGGTCCCGGGGGGCTGCGGGGTGTCCTCAGGAAGCCCCCCCCGTGCCCCACAGGCGGCGGCGGCCGGGGCGTTCGCGCAGACCCTGCGCAGGTACACGTCCCTCAACCACCTGGCCCAGGCGGCCAGGGCTGTGCTGCAGAACACGGCCCAGATCAGCCAAATGCTCAGCGACCTCAACAGGGTGGACTTTGCCAACGTGCAGGTGAGGGGGGACCCCACAAGCCCCGGGGGCCGGGAGAGCCAGGGCAGAGCTGAAGCTCAGCTGCGGATCGGGGGTCTGTCCCTGGCTCCTGTGCCCCCCGGCCCTGGAGCGGCAGCCTGGGCGTGCCGGTGCGAGGTGCAGGTGGGGCAGGGCCGGGGGCTGTGTCTGGGGGTCCATCCCGCTCCAGGAATGCATTTTCCAGGAGCAGGTGGGGCAGGGCTGGGGGCTGTGTCCGGGGGTCCATCCCGCTCCAGGAATGCATTTTCCAGGAGCAGGTGGGGCAGGGCTGGGGGCTGTGTCCGGGGGTCCATCCTGCTCCGGGAATGCCTGTTTTCCAGGAGCAGGTGGGGCAGGGCCGGGGGCTGTGTCTGGGGGTCCATCCCGCTCTGGGAATGCCTGTTTTCCAGGAGCAGGCAGCCTGGGTGTGCCGCTGCGAGGCGCGGGTGGTGCAGCGCCTGGAGCAGGATTTCAAGGCCACGCTGGGCCAGCAGCACTCGCTGGAGCAATGGGCGGCCTGGCTGGACGCCGTGGTGGGCCGGGTGCTGCGCCCCCACCTCGGCACCCCCGGGCTGCCCCGGGCGGCCAAGCTCTTCCTGCTCAAGTGGTCCTTCTACAGGTGGGCACCCCCAGCCCTCTCCTGAGCCCCCCAAACGCAGCCCCAGCGCTCCCCCTGACCCCCCGTGACCCCACAGCTCGATGGTGATCCGGGACCTGACCCTGCGAAGCGCCGCCAGTTTCGGCTCCTTCCACCTGATCCGGCTGCTGTACGACGAGTACATGTACTACCTGGTGGAGCAGCGCGTGGCCCGGGCGCGGGGCACCTGTCCCATCGCCGTCATGGGCGAGGTGGGCGCGGGAGGGGTGCGGGGGGGGCACTGGGAAGGGGCTCGGGGCAGGTTTGGGGGTCCCACCCCTCCTCGTTTCAACCCTGACCCCACCCCCACTCCTCCCAGTTTGCCAACCTGACGAGCTCCCTGAACTCGCTGGACCCCGACAAAGGTGGGTGTGACCCCCCATCCTCCTGCCCCTCCCCCGGGCTGGGGGACACGGTGCAACCCCCTCACTGTCACCCCCCAAGATGAGGAGGAGGAGGAGGAGGAGGAGAGCGACGAGGAGCTGCCGGCAGAGCTGGGGCTGGGAGGGGCGAGGGCCGGCGCTGCCCCGGACCCTCTGGAGCCACCGCTGGAGCCCCCCTGGAGCCGCCCTGGAGCCCCCCGGCCAAACTGCCCCGCGCCGACTCCTCGCGGGCTCTTCTGCAGGCGCTGCCTCGAGCTGAGCCCCCCGGCCCCAGGGGACAATGTGCCTTAGCGACGCCGGGACCGTGCCAAAGCCTCTGGCCCCGAGGGCACAAAGGACCCGCAGGGTTTGGGGATGGCCCCTCCCCGGGGTTGGAGTCCCTTTGGGGGTGGGGGACCCAGAGACCGCGGGGACTCCTGGACGCTGCCCCCCTCCGCCCCCGCAGTGCCAAACCCTCCCCCGCTGCCTTACGCCCCTCCCCCGCATGACGGGCCCCCGGCCCCCGCGCTTTGCCCCCCTCACCCCTCCCCCGTCTTAGATTTTGGCGTTTTCGATCATTTTGTGCTTTGTGCCCCAGGGAGGGGCCGTGTCGTGGCCACCCGTGTGGAAATCAAGCCAAGCCTGGAATTCTGGGGTCCGGGGAGGTCAGGGCCCTCCCCCCACCCCGCGTGCCCCCGGCCCCTCTCCCCCTCCCCGCCGACGCTGTTTTTTACCTTTTGTAGCTTCTTTGTAAAAGGAATAAAAACCAACCGCGGTGTTTGCCCGGCCCTGCCTGAGCCGGGGGGGCCGAAATCCCGGGATTCGCCCAAAGTCACTGGGACTCACCCCAAAAAAAACAGGATTCACCCAAAACCACTGGGACTCACCCCGAAAAACACAGGGTTCACCCAAAATCACTGGGACTCACCCCAAAACCCCACGGGATTCACCCCAGCAACCCTGGGCTTCACCTCAAACACCTTGGATTCACCCCGAATTCCTGGGATGCAGCCCAAAATCTGCCCCAGAGCCCCCAGGACTGACCCCAAAACCCCAGTGAAACGAAAGTGCCAGAACGTGGAAATGGGAATATTTATGGGGGGGCTGTTGGGGGTTGGGGGGGGGCCCCAATAATAAAACACTGAATGGGAGAAGGAAAAAAAAACAAGAACAAAAAAACCCCCAAATGGCCCCAAACTGGGGGGTGGGGCCACTTCCCGTGTCCGTCCTGTGTCCGTGTGTCCGTCCCGTGTCCGTGTGTCCGTGTGTCTGTCCCGTGTCAGGGTCACAGCACGATCCACGTGTAGCGCTCGTTGTCTGCCAAGACCTTCAGGGAACAGCCTGGGGGGAGTTGGGGGAAGTGTGAGGAGGGGGCAGGACCCCCAAAACCAACCCCAGACCCCTCAGGACTCCCCCCATTGCCCCCTGAACCCCCCAACCCCTCAAGAGCCCCCTGGGATCTCCCAGACCCTCCTGTGACCCACCCCAGGATCCCTCCCAGGATGGCCCCAAACCCCCCAGCCCTTCCAGATCCCTCTGACCCCCAAATCCCCCATGCACCCCCAGGACCCCCAAACCCCCTGGAGCCCCCCAAAGCCCCCCACCCTTGTGCAGGGCCTCGTTGGTCATCCTGTGCACGCCCTGCCGGGCCCCTCGGGGACGAGCCAGCGCATCACCGTGTCCACGCAGCCCTTGCGGTACGAGCTCCACACGCTGCCGCTGCAAAAGGGGCACAGCGGGATTTCGGGGGGAGCTCGGGGGGATCCTCAGCTCCCTGAGCCCCCACTGTGGCCCTGAGTCCCCCCCAGCCCCCCAAACTGCTCCAGGGGGGCCTCAGAGCCCCACCCGACACTCCCGGACTGGACCCAGCGCCTGCCACAGCCCCCCCAAACCTCCCCTAAAACCCCCCATGAGCCCCCAAACCAAACCCCAGAACCTCCTAAACCCCCTGAACCCCCCAAACCTCCCTGAGCCCCCAGCCCCCCTCACCTGGTCTGGCCCCTGACCTCGGTGAGGTCCCCGACGCCCACGGTGGCGAAGGTGCCGTTGTTGAGGTCCCAGGACACCTTGAGGCTCGTGTGGTACGTCCTGGGGCTGGGGGACATCAGCGCAGGGGGACACCCTGGGGGCAGGGGACCCCAGAACCCCCTCACCGCAGCTGCCCCTCCTCGTCGGGCGAGGGGAAGGCCAGGAGCAGCAGCCCGATGTTTATCACCACTTGGTTGGTCTCGGGGCACACCTGGGGGGCACAGACGAGGGGCACGAGGCTCAGGGGGGTCTCTCAGAGGGTTTTGGGGGGGGTCCCCAAGGGGTCTTAGGGGAGTCCTGCACTGCCAAGACCACAAGGGAGGGGGGGGCGGGTCTAGGGGTGTTCAGGGGAACCTGGGGGAAATCAGGGGTTCTGGAGGGTGTTTAGGGGATCCCTGGTGGTCCCGGGGGCTCTGGGGGTTTCAGGGCCCCCCCCACCACCTCATTGATGACAATGTTGTAGTGGCTGAAGATGCAGAACTGCTGGGCCAGGGGCGTTTGGGGATGCAGGGGGTCTCAGGAGCTTTGAGGGGGGTTTCAGGGGTGTCTGAGGGGTTCCTGGGGGCTGGGGGTCTCTAACCTCGAGGATGACGATGTCGTAGTCGCTGAAGGAGCAGAACTGCCGCCCCCAGGCCGCGTCGTTCCTGATCACCTCGTTAATCACGTACTCGAAGTCCAGCGTGAGCTGCTCCACTGTCAGGAACTGCCCCTGGGGGCCCGGAGGGGGTCAGGGGGGGCTCTCCCGAGGTTTTGGGTCCCCCCCGGGGGTTGGGGTCCCCCCAGGCCCCCCACCTGTGCCGTGGCCCGGTCCCTCAGGGGGGTCAGGCTGCGCCCGCTCAGGTCGGTCACCACGAACGGGAGGGAGATCTTGTCGTCCTCTAGGTCTGGGGGGTTGAAGAGGTGAGGCGGGGGCTCCCCACACCCCCTAGGGGTCCCCCCTCCCCCCCGGGGGTCCCACTCACCCTGGGGGGGCTCCCCGGGCTCCAGCACGTAGCGCAGTTTGGTGTAGTTGACGTAGGCGGGTTCTGGGGAGTGCCCGGGGGTCCCGGGGGCTGCGCCTCCCTGGGGGCTGTCGGGGGCCGTGGGGGGTCGCAGGGGTGGACCGCGGGGGAGGGGCGGGGGTCGTCGTCCCCCTCCCCGAGGGCTCCCCAGGTCCCCCCACCCCCTGTGCCCTCCGGAACAAATCGGCCACAAACTCCTTGGCCTTGGCCACGGCCGGGAGGGGGCGTGGGGGTCCTGTGGCCTGGGGGGCTCCAGGGGTCTGGGCGGCCGGGAGACCCCCAGACCCCCTCCAGCTCCTCGGGGGCGTGTGGGGCGCTGCTTCCCCGTCGGGAGGGCCCTGGGACGCTGCGGCGCTCGAAGAGGATCTGCCGGAGCTGCCGTCGGCCGCGGGGACAGGGGGCCAGGGGGTCAGAAGGGGTTAGGGGTCCCGGGGGCGCTCAGGGGGTCCTGTACCCGCGGGGTGCACGGCGATGGCGCAGGCCACGAGCGAGAAGCTGGTGTTGAGCAGCACCACGTGGTCCTTGCGCAGCTGGAAGGCCGGCTGGAAGGTGGGGAAGGGATACACCACCTGGAACTTGGTGTGCAGCAGGAACCCGTGGCGCAGGCACGCGGGGGGGGCCTCCCCTGGGGGGCACGGGGGGGTCAGCGGGGCACCCCAGACCCCCCAAAGCCCCCTCGCGGCACCCCCTGGGCTGGGCAATCCCCAAAGCCCCCTTGCTGTGCCCCAGGACTCAGCACGGGGACTCCCCGCTCACCTGGGGGCAAAGGGGGGGTCAGGGGTCGGGGTCTCACTGGAAGGCTCAGGGGCTGGGGTCTCACGGGGGGCTCAGGGGTCTCACCGGGGGCCTAGGGGCCAGGGTCTCACAGGGGGCTCAGGGGTCTCACCGGGGGTCTCAGGGAGGACGGGGTCTCACTGGGGGCCTCAGGGGGCCAGGGTCTCACCGGAGGGCTGGGGTCTCACGGGGGGCTCAGGGTCTCACCGGGGAGGGTCAGGGGTCTCACGGGGGCTCAGGGGTCTCACCGGGGGCTCAGGGGTCTCACCGGGGGCTCAGGGGTCTCACCGGGGGCTCTAGGGGTCTCACCGGGAGGGTCAGGGGTCTCACGGGGGGCTCAGGGGTCTCACTGGGCGGGGGGCTGGCCCGGCGGCAGGCTGGGCAGTGGCGGGGCGGGGGCACGGCCACGGCGCTCACGTAGATGTCGCGGTGGTTCTCGTCGCTCATCAGCAGCATGTTCATCTGCAGCCCCGTGGCCGAGCGCGTGCTGGGGGGCACAGGGCGGGGGGGTCAGGGATGCTCCGGGAGGACACTGGGGTCCCCAGGCGCAGGGGCCACCCACTTGAAGCCGAAGACGATGACCTTGTCGCTGTCCCCGGGCCACTCGCACACGGTCAGGTACAGGTCGCTGTAGATCTCCTCGTCCTGGAACAGCCTCACCTGGCGCACCTTGGGGCGGGGCGGGGGGCGGTGGGCGGGGGCTCTGGGAACAGCCTCGGGGTCCCCCGCAGCCCCCCCGGTCCCCGTACCAGGCGCAGTTTGCTGTGCACGTTGAACTCCCACCAGTACAGGTGGTACACGTAGAAGGAGAAGTCGTCCCCGGAGCTGCTGGTGTAGGACAGGACGTACCGGCCACACTTGGAGAACCCCAGGAAGATGTGCCTGGGTGGGGGGGCACAGGGACGTGGGGACAGACGGACACGGGGTCAGCTCACAGTCCCCCCAGAGTTTGGGGACACCCTGCGGAGTTGGGGTCCCCCCTCTCACCCCCCAGTGTTGGGGTTCCCCCTCTCACCCCCCAGGGGTTGGGTCCCCTCCCAGATTTGGGGTCCCCCTCTCACCCCGCGTACAGGAACTCCTCGTCCACGATGCTCTTGAGGGACACACAGACACGGGGGGGAAGCTTCCGGAAGAGCCGTGGGGAGAGCTGCCCACTGAGCTGGGGGGGCACGGGGGGCTCAGGGACTCCCCGAACCCTCCCCATCGCCCCCTCCAGCCCCTCAGCCCGTCCCTGTGATCCTCACCCCCTCACAGACACCCCCCAATTCAGGGCTCCCCCAGGACCACCCCCTCCACACCCCCAGCTCGTCAACACCGACACGAGACCCCCGGACGTGTCCCCGCCCACGACCCCAATTCCCTCCCTCAGAGCCCCCCCAGGGACCCCCTCTCCCCTCACAGTCCCTCAGGGTTCCCTCACTCCCCCTCTTCCCTCAGGGTCCCCGAGTTCGCACCCACCCCTCAGGGTCCCCTTCTCCCCTGCGTCCCCCCCTCAGCCCCTCCCGCCTCCTCAAGGACCTCTCAGGGTCCCCTGACACCGCCCCTCTCTCCTCACGGTCCCCTCATCCCCTTCTCCCCTCACGGTCCCCTCAGGGTCCCCTCATGAACCCCCCTCCCCTCAGCCGCTCTCTCCCCTTAGCCCCCCGTCTCCTCGGCGGCCCCGCTCACCCGGACCCGGTCCAGCTGCCTCACGAGGTGCTCTCGGCGGCCCCGGGCGGCGGCCCCAGGCCCGGCCCCGCCGGTGCCCCCCCTCTTGGCCCCGGTTCCTCCCCGCTCCGCTTTCGAGCTCGGCGCCATTTTCCCGGCCCGGCTCTTCCGCCGCGCCGCGCGCCGCCGGCGGCCCCGCCCACGCCGCGCCCCCATTGGCCGCCGCCGCGCGGCCCGCGCAGCCCATTGCAGGGCTCGTCCGTCAATCCCCGGCGCGCCCCGCCCCCGCGGAGCAGCGCGGCCAATCGGAACGCGGCGGCCGGGACGCGATTGGCCCGCGCTCCCGCCCGTCCGTTGTGGCGGGGTTGCCATGGAGACGAGGCCGCGGCGGGGGCGGGACCACGCGGTTGATTGACAGCTCGGGGACAGCGGGGGGGGGGCACCGGGAGTGACCAAAACCCGCGGTTTTCTTCTTAAAAACTTTATAATTTGTGAGAGCGCCCGAAAGAACCCGAAACAGCCCCTTGACCCCCCCGCCCCAGGCACTTGGGGGAGCAGCAGGGACCCGCTTTGGTGGGGGGACACGGGGAGGGGTGGGGGCAAAGTGCTTTGGGGGACACCGGGACCCCAGGGGAGAGCGGGGGGTCAATGTCACCCTGTTATTGGGGGAGTGTCAGTGTTCCCCTATCGCTTGGGGGTCAGTGCAACCCTGAGGGACCATTTTGGGGGGCCAGTGTCACCCTGTTATTGGGGGGGATTCAGGGGGGTCACCATCACCTTGTCATTGGGGGGGGTCAGTGTCCCCCTGTCATTGGGAGGGGTCAGTGTCACCCTGAGGGGGATTTTGGGGGGGTCCCTGTCACCCCGGGGGGGTCACGTAGCAGCAGCTCAGATGCCTGTGATTGTCACAGCAGCAGTGGCAGGAAGGGGGTCCCCAGAGCACCCCCAAACTCCCTGCACCCTGTCTGGTCCCAGCCCCTGCTGGGGGGGGGCCTCATCCACGGAGCTTTTGGATCTGGAAGAGAAGAGGGGGTCAGGAGGGGTTGGGGGCCAGGAGACCCCCAAAATCCACCCCCTTTTGGGCCCCCTCACCTCGCTCTCCACCAGGTTCCGTTTGTACAGGGCCTCCTTGGCTGCCTCCTGCGGGGGAAGGGGGGGGTCAGGGGGGCCCCAGAACGACCCCATGGGGGGCACCGGGGTTTTTGGGGGTCTGGGGAGGGTTCTGGGGGCTCTGAGGAGGGTTTGGGCTCTCACCCGCTGCCCCTCGGTGCCGAGGCGCCGCGCGGCCGCCGTGTAGAGCTGGAGGTGCCGCTGCAGCTGCTCCAGGTACTCTAGGAACGGGAAAAACCGGGAGAGAAACCGGGATAAACACCAGGAAAAAATGGGATAAACACCGGGAAAAACCGGGAGAGAAACCGGGATAAACACCGGGAAAAACCAGGAGAGAAACCGGGAAAAACCGGGAGAGAAACCAGGAAAAACTGGGAGAGAAACCGGGATAAACACTGGGAAAAACTGGGAGAGAAACCGGGACAAACATCGGGAAAAACCAAGAGAGAAACTGGGAAAAACCAGGAGAGAAACTGGGATAGAGCAGGGAAAAAAAAAAGAGGATAAAAATGGAGAAAAAACAGGATAAAACCCAAGATAAACCAGGATAAGAACTGGGATAAACTGGGGGAAAAAACAGGATAGACCGGGAATACAAAGTGGTATAAACCAGGAAAGAAAAGGGGATAAAAACAGGGATAAACTGCTGGGGGTGGAGAGAAGGGACAAAAACTGTGGAAAAAAGTGAAAAAACAGGAGAAACCAGGATAAAGTGGGACAAATAGGGATAAGCCGGGATAAAAAGCGGGATACACCACGGTACACCAGGACAAAGTGGGACAAACCAGGATGCACTGGGATAACCAGGGACAAAACGGGATAGAGAGGGAAAGGCAGGGATTTTGGGGTGCTGGGGGGGACTCCCCAACCCCCCCCTCACCCGAGCGGAACTGGGGGTCCCCTCCCTGCAGCCGCGTCCGCAGCCCCTGGATCCGCCGGAGCAGCTCCTGGTGCTGCTGCCGGAGCTCGGGGGGCACCGGGAGGCCCCCCCGGCTGAACGGCACCATCTGGGGGGGGGGAGAGAGATGGGGGTGTCAGGAGGGGCTGGGGGGGGTTCAGAGCCCCCCCCCAAAACCACCACCCCCCCCTCACCTTCCGCTCCAGCCGCTCCCGCTCGAAGAGCAGCAGGTGGAGGCTCGGGAATGTCGGGAGGGATCTGGGAGCGAGGGGATGGGGGTCAGAGCAGGGGATCCCAGGGGAGAGCCCCAGAACCCCCAGTTCAGCCCCCCCAACCCCTCCTGAAGGGGTCCCACTTCCCAACCCCCATCCCACCCCTATTCCCCCCAATTCCCACCCCCATAGGGACAATTCCCATCCCTGGATCTGCTCATGTTAACCCACCCCTCCGTGACTCCCCCCCCAGAATTCCCAGTGCTCAGGGCACACCCAGTGTTCCCAGTTTTCCCAGCATTCCCAGTGTTCCTGGCATTCCCAGCCTCCCCAGTGTTGCTGGCGTTCCCAGTATTCCCAGTTCTCCCCACCCCTCACCTGTTGTTCCCGTCCTTTGGGGCTGCTGGGGCCCGTTTGGGAGCAGTGACCTGGGTGGGGGGGTGGAAGATCCGGGTTATCCCGGGATATTCCCATCCCAGGGGGTGCAGGATCCGGGTTATCCCGGGATATTCCCATCCCAGGGCTCACCTGGGCCTCGTTCCCGGGCTCCAGGACCATCCAGCGCTCGGAGCGCGGCTCCAGCTCCCGTTGGCTCCCGAGGGGCTCCCGGATCCGAACCCAAACCTCCAGCCGACCCCCCGTTGGGCGTCGCCCATCCAGCAGCTGGAAAACAGGGAATGGGGGGGGGGGGAGCCTGGGACTCACACAGGGTCCGGGAAGAGCCACAGGAATGGGGAATGCCCTGGGACGGGGATGAGCCCCGCTGGGAACAGCGGGAAGGAAGGGCCGCCCCCCCTCACCTCGAGCTGCTCCCGGAGCTCGCAGGAGCCCTCCAGGCCCTGGAGCCGCAGCTGCGCCAATCCCAGAGCGCGCTCCGGCCGGAACAGCCCCCTGGAACAGCGAGCCGGGGGGTTATCCCGCACCTTGCCAGGCTTCCCACGCTGCCCAGCCCATTTTCTGCCTCTTTTTTCTGTGCTTCCCGTTCAATATTCCGCGTTTTCCGCGCTGCCTCCCACGTTCTCCCTTCTATTCTCCACACCGTTCCCCACCTGTCCCATCCAGCATTCCACGTCCTCCATGCTGGGATTTCCTCCCCAACCACCCCCCCAGTCCCCCAAAGCCCCAAAAAAACCCCCCTTACCCCTTCTGGGCCACCTCGAACTTGATCCCTCGGGAGCTGAGGAGCCTCCGGAGCCCTCGGTGCCCCCGGAGCAGCCGGAGCCGGAACCGCGCCCCGAATTCTGGAAGGGGGGGGACACGACACAGGGAGTCAGGGACCCAGCACCCAGAGACCCCACAGCCCAGCTAGGGGACTCCCCCACCCCTCAACTCCCGGGATTTACCAGGACAATCCGTGCTCTTCACCACGGGGGTCTTGTCCCGCTGAGCCTCCTCCTGTGGGGGGGGGACATTGTGGGGGACAGAGACATGGGGGGACAGGGGAGGACACGGGGGGAGGACACTGGGGGGGTCCCCAGGGCCCCACTCACCGCACTGGGGTGGGGGAACTCGAAGCGCACGAAGGTGTCCAGGTCACTGGGGCCACTCCTGGGGGACACGGGGGACACAGGGATGGGGGACACGGGGGACACGGGGGACACAGGATGGGGACATGGGGGGGGACACGGGGCACCAGGTGTGTGGGATGAGGGCCCCACAGCCACACCTGCCCCAGTCCCAGCTCCCCAGTCCCAGTTCCCAGTCCCAGCTCCTCCTCCCCTCACCCGGGGGCACTGGGAGGCCGATCCCCCAGCTCCCAGTGTGCCCAGTCCCTCGTTCCCAGCGTTCCCAGTCCCTCACCCGGGGGCACTGGGAGGCCGATCCCCCAGTTCCCAGTGTGCCCAGTCCCTCGTTCCCAGCGTTCCCAGTCCCTCACCTGGGGGCACTGGGAGGCCGATTCCCCTCTCTATTCCCAGCTCCAGGTCGCTGCTGCTCAGCTCTGGGAACATCCTGTGGGGGGGATCAGGGGGGAGAACCTGTCAGATCCCCCCTCAAGGTGTGCCCACACCTTTGACCCCCCTCAGTGCCCCTCCCACGTTTCTACCCCCCCCAAACCTTCCCCCTACAGGATGCCCCCCCACTTTTCCCTTCTAGTGCCACCCTACAAGTTGCTCCTCCCCCCAGTGGCCCCCCAAGTTGCTCCTCTCCCCCAGTGCCCCCTCCCGTCCCCCCTCACTTGATGACGCTGAAGGTCCTGTGCTCGTAGCGGGGTCTCGGGGGGGGAGCCCCCCTGTTGTGGGCCCTCCTCAGGGTCTCCATGTGCCGCCGGCACTCCTCGGCCAGGGCCTCGCACCTGGGGGGGCACCGGGGCATTGGGACCCCCCCTGGGACCGGGAAACGCCCCCTGGGATTGGGAACCCCCCCTTGGGATTGGGAACCCCTCGTGGGACATTCATCCCCCAGGACAGGGACTCCCCCTCCCCGGGATTGGCACCCTCCCTGGGATGGGGAATTTCCCCCAGGATCAGCCTTCCCAGGATTGGGACCCACCCCCAGGGCAGGATTGGGACCTTTCCCCAAGATCAGGACCCCCAGGGCAGGATTGGGACCCTTCCCTGGGATCAGGACCCCCAGGGTAGGACTGGGACCCTTCCCTGGGATCAGGACCCCTCCCTGGGATTGGGACCCACCCCGGGCTCGGCCTTCTCTTCCTCAGGGAGGAGGAAGGTCCCACCCCCTCCCCCCCACCCAAACCTGGTGGTCTCTGAGATGTTCCCGAGGTGGGCGAATTGCCGGGAGTAGGTGAGACACATCTGGGGGGAGAAAGGGGGGGAAATAGCAGGGAAAATGAGAAAAAAGGGGAGGAAATGGGGGGGAAAGAGGAAGAGCGAGACTTCCACATCCACTCTGCAGGGCCCTCCCCACCGTTTTTGAGCTCCCAACTCCCCTAGTTTGTTGGGGTCTCCCTGTTTTCGGGGGATGCTCCCCAGTTTTGGATACTTTTAGGATTATTAGGATTCCCTCCCCCCACCCCCCAGTTCTGGACACCCCCCATTTTGGGGTTTCATCTCCTTGATTTTGGCCCCTCCCCAAGGTTTTTGACCCCTTCCCAGTTTCTGGGGTTTCCCCCTTTAGTTTTTGGGGCCCCCCTACCCAATTTTTTGCCTCCCTCCCATTTTTGGGGCCCCCTCACCTGGTGCTGCTTCCTCAGAGTCCCTGCCAGCTGCAGGAAGGTCTTGGTGGTCTCGGGGGGCACCGGCACCCCCCCAGGGCCCAGCTCGAACTCAGTCCCGTCCAGGGGGGGCTCTGGGACCTGTGGGGGGGAAAGGGAATCCCGTGGGATGAGATTCCCTGGGAGAGGGGGGACAGGGGGGCACTGGGGACACAGGAGGATCAAGGATGGGATGGCATCTGGGACCTGAAGGGATTTGGGATCCAGCACAGCAAGAAGGGGCCTCTCTGGAGCCTCCCCCCGACCCTCCCTCCGCCCCCTCAGACCTTGGTGGTGTCCACAGGGAGCCCTCACCCCCATCAGGGGGTACCCCCAGCCCCTCCCAGCCCCCAGGGACCCCCAGGAGCCCCCAACCTGTGCCAGATCAACAGGGAGCCCCCAGGACCCTCCCAGCCCCCCAGGGACCCCCAGGAGCCCCCCAATCTGCACCAGATCGACGGGGAGCCCCCCAGGACACCCCCAGCCCCCCAGGGACCCCCAGGAGCCCCCCCAACCTGCGCCAGGTCGACGGGGAGCCCCCGGGCGGCCCCCAGCAGCCCCTCGACGCCCTTGGCGCGGCGCAGCAGCTCCTTGGCCGCCCCCAGGTCGTTCCTGCGCTTGGCCCGGAGCGCGGCCCGGGAGAACTGGGCCCTGCGGAGCTCCAGGAATTCCAGCTGGGCCTGGGCTGGGAGACAGGAACGGCCCGGAGAGAGAGGGGGTCACAGCCCTGGGGATCCCGGTGCCCCCCTCCCAACCCCCCGGGACCCCCCCATACCTTTCCGGTGGGTTTGGGAGCCGGTTGGGAATTCGGGGTCCCTCGCTGGGAGCGTTCCGGGGGCAGAGGCTGCCTGGGGGTCCCAGGGGGCCGGGCGGGGTCGGGCTGTGCCGGGAGACACCGTGACGGGGTCAGTGGGGACCCCCAGGAATCACCAGGAATCCCTGGGAATCCCCACCTCCCGGGCCCCCACCTGGGGTCCTGCCTCCCCCCCCGCCTCCAAAGCCTCCAGACCCCCACACCTGACCTTGGGCCCCTCGGGGATCCCCCCTTCCTCCTCCTCCTCCTCCTCCTCCTCCTGGGGGGTCCCCGCCAGCCTCGTGGCCGCCTCCAGCATCCCCGCCACGCTCGGCTCCGCCGGCGCCTCCGAGCCCTGGATGGGCGGGAAGCCTGGAAAAGGGGGAGAATCCCGATGGGAATGGGGGTGTTCCTGGCTGGGGACATTCCCCCCCCAGGTTGTGGGGAGGGATTTGGGGTCGTGGAGGGACCGGGAACGTACCTGGCGGCACCGGGAGCTCCGAGAGATCCACGGCTTTGCCGGCACTGAGAGCACGGAGAGCGGCCTGGTATTGCTGGGGGGGACACAGGGGGTCAGGGGGGGCACTGGGAGCACTGGGAGGGCCCACAGGGGGACTGGGATCATCGTATGGGGACTGGCACTGGATGCCCATTCTGGGATTGGGATCCCCATTCTGGGATTGGGACCCCCATTCTGGGATTGGGACCCCCATCTTGGGATCGGGATCCCCATTCTGGGATTGGGATCCCCATTCTGGGATCGGGGCCCCCATTCTGGGCCCAGGATGCCCCCCAGCTCCGGGCACCTTCACAATCCTCTCGTGCATCCGGACTTTCCTGCCGTCCCCGCTCTCCTTGGCCTGGGCAGCGGCCGCCCGGTACCGCTCCATGCGCTGCTCCAGCGCCTCCCTCACGTCCCGGGGGGCTGGGGGGGCTCCTGGGGGAAGGGAAACCCCCAAAACCCCCTCAGAAACCCCTCAGAAACCCTCCATGCCCCTGTCCCAACCTGCCCCCCCTGGGAGCCCCCAGGGCCCACCTGGGGCGGGGGGTGCCGGTGGATCCCTCGGCTCCGGTGGATCCCTTGGCATCGGTGGATCCCTCGGCATCAGTGGATCCCTCGGCTCCGGATCCCTTGGCACCGGATCCTTCGGCTCCTCTGGCTCTGGACCTGCGGGGAGGGAGTGCCTGGATGCCCTGGGACCAGCAGGACCCAGGGGCGGAGGGGGGGATTATCCCCTCCCCAAAATAAGGGGGTTTGGGCCCAGCAATCCCACCCCCCCCATGGGGTCTCACCCGGGGCACGGCCCTGCCCCTGCGCCTCCAGCTGCGCCTCCAGGCTCTGGAAAACCAAGGGAAAACAGGAATTGGGGGGCGGCCAGGCCCGGGGATGAGGGGTCTGGGGGGGATCTGGGGGGCTTTGGGGTACCTTGGCCGCCCGGTAGTGGCCCAGGGCGGTGGCCGTGTCCCCCCGGCGCTTGGCCAGCAGCGCTTCCCGCTGCAGCTCCCGGAGCCGCACCCGGAGCGCCGGGACGGGGCTCGGGATCCGGGCAGGGAGCCGGGCAGGGAGCCGGGCAGGGAGCCGGGGATGGGGCCAGGGTACGGCTCGGGGGCTGGGCTGGGGGGTTGGGGGTCTCTGGGGGTTCCTGGGCAGGGCCCCTGCCCCCCTTTCCCAGCGCCACCGGAGGGGGAATCTCGGCCTCATCGATGCTCTTCCCGCTCCGGACGGACTCCAACAGCTGCTCCAGGGTCTGGGGACACAGGGAGGGGGAAATCAGGAAAAACAGCGGGAAATGGGGAGCAGAGGCAGGACGGGAAGGGTAAAACGAGGGTTTGGGATTGGGAAATGGGGCAGGATGGGGATCAGAGCGAAGGAAAGTAGGATAAAACAAGTCAGAACAGGGAGAAATGGGGTAAAACTGCTCAGAGTCGGGAAAAGCGGGATAACCCCCAGTCTGTTCCAAAGGCTTTAGGGGCCTGTGAGGGAACTGGGGGCGGACTCAGAGGACCTGGGGCTCTGGACTCACCCGCAGGCCGCGCTGGAGCCGCCGCAGCCGCGCCCCGTCCCCGGCGTCCCGGGCGTTCCCAGCGGCCTCCCGGTACAGATCCAGCCGCTCCGACAGCACCGAGAGCAGGGCGGGACCCAAGGGCTCCTGGGGGCACACCCCGACCCCCTGGGATCACCTGGGACCCACACCCTGACCCCCTGGGATCACCCAGGACCCACACCCTGACCCGCTGGGATCACCCGGGACCCACACCCTGACCCCTGGGATCACCCGGGACCCACACCCTGACCCACTGGGATCGTCCAGGACCCGCCCACAGCGAGATCCAGGGCTGGGGTCACGCCCAGGATCCCCCACAGCAACGTCTGCTGGGATCACAGGCTAGGATTGCTGGGATTGGGGCTGGGATCACTGGGACCAGGGTTGGGATCACTGGGATTGGGGCTGGGATCACTGGGATCAGGGTTGGGATCACTGGGATTGGGGTCACTGGGATCACTGGGATTGGGATCACTGGGATCACTGGGATTGGGGTCACTGGGATCACTGGGACCAGGGCTGGGATAACTGGGATTGGGGTCACTGGGATCACTGGGACCAGGGCTGGGATAACTGGGATTGGGGTCACTGGGCTCAGGGTTGGGATCACTGGGATTGGGGTCACTGGGATCACTGGGATTGGGATCACTGGGATCACTGGGATTGGGATCACTGGGATCACCCCCTCTCCGGCTGTACCTGGGTTGTCTCCGTGGTGGCCTCGCTCCCGTCCCCCTCCTGCAGCACCTCCTGCAGCTCCGCCTGCCCCCAAAATCCCAGGAATTGACCCCAAATCTGGGAATCAGCCCTGTCGGGGGCACAAACCCCCTCCCCAGGCTGGGACCCCCCCCAGCCCTCCCTCACCAGCAGCTCCTCCTCATCCTCCAGCTCTTCCTCCTCCTCCTCCTCCTCCTCCTCAGCGGGGTCCCTGAGGCAGAGCTGGGCCAGGGCCCCCACGGCTGCCAGGCCTGGGGGGGACACGGCAGGGACAGGGGGGGTCACAGACCCATCCAGGGGGTTTTGGGGCTTCACCCCCACCCCCCCGGCTCCCAACTCACCCTGTGGGGTGGTCGGGGCCACCCTCCCTGGAGCCCCCCGGGGCTCCCCCAGCAGCTCCAGCAGCTCCTGTTCCAGTTCAGCTCCATCCGGGACCCCCTCCGGGGGGGCATCCAGCACCAAACCCATCTGGGGAGGGGGGAACAGGGCTGGGGGGGGGCACAGAGAGACCCCCGGGCCCCCCCCAGGGAGAGGGACAGGGCTGGGGGGTCACAGAGACCCCCAGAGCCCCGGGGAGGGGAGGAGGGGGACACCCTCGGATCGGGGAAAGGGATCCCGGGGGGCAGAGGGAGATTCCCAGGATCCCAGGGGGCAGAGGGGGGGTTCCCAGGATCCCGGGGGACAGAGGGGGATTCCCAGGATCCCGGAGGGGCAGAGGGGGGGGTTCCCAGGATCCCGGGGGCAGAGGGGATTCCCAGGATCTGGGGGTAGAGGGGGTTCCTAGGATCCCGGGGGCAGAGGGGGATTCCCAGGATCCCGGGGGCAGAGGGTCCTCCCGGCCCCCAGGGAGGTGCAAAAGGGGGGAGTCCCGGGGGTCCCACGCACCTGCCGGGCCATGGCCGCCCCCCGGCCCGGGACCCTCCTGGCTCGGCTCATGGCTGCGAGTGCTCCTGGGGGGACAAGGGGGCCAGGGGGTCCTGGCTGAGCCCCCGCACCCCCACAGCTTCCTGAGAGCCCTCTGGAGCCCCCCAGCCCCTCCCAACGTCCCAGCCCTCCTCAGAGCCCCCCCGGCCCCATTTAACCCCTCAGAGTCCCCCAATGTCCCATCTCCTCCCGAGACCCCCAACAGCCCAATTTACTCCCCAGATCCCCCAAAGGCCCTGATTCCCCCGTTTCTCCTCCCAGAGCCCCCAAAAGCCCCCGTGTCCCCACCAGAGCTCCCCAAAGGGTCCCGGTCACCCCTTCCCCTCCCAGAGCTCCCCAAAAGCCCCCGTGTCCCCACCAGAGCTCCCCAAAGGGTCCCGGTCACCCCCTTTCCCCCCTCCCAGAGCCCCCCAAAAGGCCCCGTGTCCCCCACCCCGCTGTCCCGGTCCCGGCGCGCCCAGTCGGTCCCAGTTGCTCCCAGTTCGTCCCAGTCTCTTCCTGCTCCGCCGGCCGCTGTCAACACCGCCGCGCTTTACGGCGCCGACGTCGCAAAAATAAATAAATAATTAAATAAAAATAAATAAATAAATAAAACCGTGGCCGCATTTCGCTTTACGACTCGAGTGGGGAGAACTACAACTCCCAGCGTGCCCCGCGCGCGGGAAGAAACGGCGGGAAGGGCGTGAGGGGAGGCGGTGGGGAGGGCGCCCCCTGGCGGGCGGAGAGAGAGGCGCGAATTTGGGTGAAATTTGGGGGAAACTGAGGCGGAATCGGGGGAAAGCCCCGGCTTTCGCCTCAGGCCTGGAGGGTTTGGGGCTTCCTGGCGCGGTTGCGGCTCTGGGGAAGCGGGGGGAACACGGGTATTGGGGGGGATGAGGTGGGAAGGTGGTGGGGGGAAATGGCTGCTGAGGGCTGAGTGGGAATTGAGGGTGTTGGGGACAGAGGATGGGGTGTTGGGGGGTATTGGGCAGGCTGGTGGGTATTGGGGGCACTGGAGTGTTGGGGGGAGGGAATGGAGTGTTGGGGGGTATTGGAGAGGCTGGTGGGTATTGGGATTGGAGTGTTGGGGGGTATTGGAGTGTTGGGGGGTATTGGAGAGGCTGGTGGGTATTGGGGGGATTGGGGTATTGGGGGCATTGGAGTGTTGGGGGGTATTGGAGAGGCTGGTGGGTATTGGGGGCATTGGAGTGTTGGGGGCAATGGGCGTACGGGGGAGTATTGGGGGTCTGGGGGCTGTTTGGGGGATGCTGGGGGTGATTTGGGGCTGCTCCGTGTCACCCCCGGCAGCACCGCGATGGGGAAGCGCAGGGACCGTTCCTGCCCAGGTAACTGGGAAGCACCCAAATATCCCGTTTGGGCCCAAAATGATCCCTTCCCCACCCAAAGCAGGACCCAGGGACCCCTCCTCCCCAACCAGACCCCCTTTTCCCCCCGTCCCCAGGCAACAGGAGATTCCAGGCTCCCAAGCGGATCCTCCGGGAAACTTCGGGAGCTGCTGGCGCGGCCGTTCCCATTCCCACTGATCCCACCGGGATGGACCCCCAGGGCAGGTACGGGGGGGTCCGGGCAGGGCGGGACCTGGGATGGATCCCTCCCAGTCCAATCCACCGGATTTGTCAGATCCCACAGCGGGAATGAGGCTGATCCCGAGGGAATCCAGGTGGGAGAGCGTGGAGCCGGACCCCCTCAGGTACGGAACCCCCCCGGCACGGCCCCCACCCCAAACGCAGGAAAAAACCCCAAAACTGGGAGTTCTAATGTGGTTTTTCAGGAAGGAACAGACGAGGGAATCAGAGATCCTGGAGCACCGAAACAGGGAATTCCGCATGGGATGGGAGAGGATCATCTGGAGTTGTCCCAACAGGGAATTCTGGAGGTGGATGGGGCAGGAGAGGAGCAGAGAGAGCCACCAAAACCAGGAAACTGGGATGGGATGGGAGAGAACTGTCCAGAATCACCCAAACCGGGAATTTTGGAGATGGACGGGGCAGGAGAGGATGGGCTGGAGTCAGTGGAGCAGGAAACTTCGGATGGGATGGGAGAGAATCACCTGGAATCATCGCAGCTGGGAATGCCAGAGAAAGATGGGGCAGGAGAGGAACAGCTGGAAACAGCAAAACATGGAATTCCAGAGGCAGATGGGGCAGGAGAGGAACAGCAGGAGCCACTGAGAGAGGGAATTTTGGATGGGATGGGAGTGGAGCGAGTGGAATCATCCCAGCTGGGAACTCCAGAGGCAGATGGGGCAGGAGAGGAACAGCTGGAAACAGCAAAACATGGAATTCCAGAGGCAGATGGGGCAGGAGAGGAACAGCTGGAGCCACTGAGAGAGGGAATTTTGGATGGAATGGGAGAGGAGCAACTGGAATCATCGCAGCTGAGAACTCCAGAGGCAGATGAGGCAGGAGAGGAACAGGGGGAAACAGCAAAACATGGAATTCCAGAGGCAGATGGGGCAGGAGAGGAGCAGTTGGAGCAGCTGGAACAGGGAATTTCAGAGGGAACAGGAGAGAATGGGCTGGAATCACCAAAACCAGGAATTTCAGGGGCAGATGGGGCAGGAGAGGAGCATCTGGAAACACCAACACCTGGAATTGTGGGTGGGGGAGGAGAGGAGGCACCGAAACCGGGAATTCCGGAGGGGAATGAGGCAGGAGAAGAGCAGCCCGAGCCACCAAGAGACGGAATTCGGGATGGAACAGGAGAGAACGAGCCAGAATCCCCAAAGCAGAATTCCAGAGCCCCCGAGGACACAGCCACAGCCACGGAGGGTCCGGATGCAGCGGGAGAGAGGGAAGGAGGGGACCTGGAGCAGGGATGGGGGGGGGACACGACAACACAGGATCGGCCCCAAGACCCCCGGAGTGGGGAGGGGGACCCGGAGAGTGGGAATGGCGAGAGTGGGAATGGTGAGAGGGGGAATTCAGACAGTGGGAATTGCAAGAATTCTGAGAGTGGGAACGATGAAAGCAGGAATGCCCAGAGTAGGAATACCAGGAGTGGGAATGGCGAGAGTGGGAATTCAGAGGGCGGGAACACTCGGAGTGGGAATTCCAACACGGAGCTCCCGGAGCCGGATCCCGCAGCTTCCAGCACCGACCCCCAGGAACACTGGGAAGGGATCAGCCTGGAGCTCCCAATAGAGCAGGTACAACTGGGAACCAACTGGGACCCCTCCCACCCCAAACTGGAACCCTTCCCATCCCAAACTGGGACCACTCCTCACCCAAACTGGGACCCCTCCTCACCCAAACTGGGGCCCTCCCAATCCCAAACTGGGCCCAGGCCCCCTCCCCAGCCCGTGTGCTCCAGTCCAGCCCCCTCCTCCCGCACAGCTGCCCCTGGACACCCCTGGACACGAGGCCAGGAGCTGGATCCACCCCAAATCCATTGGGAACAGCCCGGCCGTGCCGTGGGACAGGTGGGTGGATCCAGGACAGCCCCTCCTTTGGGAACAAACCCTGCTTTGGGCTGCACTCCCCAATTTTGGGGTGGGACAGCCCTGACCCCACCTCTCCCGGCAGCAGCAGGGCGGAGCCGGCGGACGCCACCGACATCATCCGGGGGCTCATCCGGGAGCTCTCGGACCTCAAGTGAGTCCCAAACCCCTGTGGGATTCCCTGTGATGGGGGTCCAGCCCCCACAGTGACCCCCTGTTCCCCCCACAGCCGCCTGGCCATGGGGGCCCGCCGGGGGCTGGAGCTGCTCCGCAGGCCGAGGCCGCGCCAGGGCCGGAGGAGCCGCTGGAAGGAGCCGTAGGGACACCGGGACACCTGGAACAGCCCTTTATTCATGGAATAAACACTCCTCCAACCAGGGAACGGCTCTGGCACACGGAAGGCAGGCACCCTGCCCGCTCTCCTGGGTGAGCAGAACCTGAGAAATCCACCCAAAGCTCTTGGGAACAACTCTGATGCTTGGAGAGCGGCTCCGGTACCCAGACCACCAGCCCTTCCTGGCCCCCTCCAGGCCTGGCATTAACCAAAACCCCACAAACCAACCCAAACTATCCAGTAGCGGCTCCATACCTGGAGCACTGACCCCTTCCTGGCCTGGGATTAGCCAAAACCCCACAAAACAACCCAAACCATCTGGTAACAGCTCCAGCACCTGGAGAACAGCTCCAGCACATGGAGCACTGGCCCATTGCCAGCCTGGAATTAACCAAAACCCCACAAAACAACCCAAACCGTCTGGTGCTCCACACCTGGAGCACTATCCCCTTCCTGGCCTGGGATTAACCAAAACTCAACAAAACAACCCAAAACTCAGAACTGAAGCCGCTGGCAGCGCCCAGATCCGGCCAAACCGGCCTTTCCCGGGATCCCACGGCGTCTGTCATGGGCGCTGGTGCCACCAGGAAGCGCCGTGCCGGGGTTTCATCCTCAGAGCGAGGCCCTGGAAGAGAGGGGGGAGAAGAAGGGAGTGAGCACCGGGCACCACCAGCCCCCCACCCCAGGAGTGAGGCCAATCCCACGAGGAGATTCCTCGTGGGAATCCCACTCCTGGCTAAAACCCACCCTGGGACGCGCCACGACCCCGGGGGACATGGGACCCTCTGCCCCTCAGCTGCTTCCCAGCGCGCCCTCCCATTCCCCGAGGAGATTCCTCACGGGAATCTCCCCCCCTGGATGTGCCACATCCACCGTGGCATCCCCGGGATGCCACGACCCCCCTGCCCGCCCGCCCCCCGGTACCTGCGTGGGGACACGGGACCCTCGGTCCGTTGCTCGGCTACTTCTTGCCGCCCTTCGCCGCCCGCTTGGCCCCGGCGCCCGCGGCGTCCCCGGGCCGCTGCCGGACGTACACCGAGGTGTAGCCGCGGCGGGTGAGGGGGCAGAAGCGGCGGGTGTGGGCGCGGTCCTGCGTGGCCCCGCACTGCGGGCACACGTAGCTGCGCAGCACCGGGCACTGCAGGCGCCCGCCCGCGTCCCGCAGGCTGTGCCCGCGGTACACGGCGGGGGCCTCCCCGTTGTGCCGGCAGAACGCGCAGGGCGGCCCGGGGGTCGCGGCCGGGGGGGCGTCCCCGGGGGGGTCCCGCGGCAGCGCGGCCACCAGCGCCGCCAGCCCCAGGTAGTCCCGCCACATGTCGAAGGGGCCCGCGGGCTCCCGGCGCGGCGGCGGCGGCGGCGGGGCCGGGGCGGCGGCGTTCGCGGGGCTCATGGCGCTGGGAAGGGCCGGGCGCTGCAGCTCCGGGCGTCCCGGGGCTGGGAAGGGCCGGGCGCCGGAGCTTTGGGGTTCCTGGCTCTCCCCGTGCAGGGCGGTTTGGGATGTCGCGGTGTTCCCGGTGCAGCGAAAGGCCGGATCCCACAGCTTCGGCGCTCCCGGTGCTCCCAGTCCAGCGGGGTGGGAAATCGCGGCTTTCCCACTGCTCCCAGTGCCGTGTGCGGTGAGGTACCACGACGTCCCGGTGCTCCCAGTCCAGCGGGGTGGGAAATCGCGGCTTTCCCACTGCTGCCAGTGCCGCGTGGGGTGAGGTACCACGACGTCCCGGTGTTCCCGGTCCAGCGGGGTGGGAAATCGCGGTTTTCCCACTGCTGCCAGTGCCGCGTGGGGTGAGGTACCACGACGTCCCGGTGTTCCCAGTCCAGCGGGGTGGGATATCACGGTGCTCCCAGTGCCGCGCGGTGTGAGGTACCACGACGTCCCGGTGTTCCCAGTCCAATGGGGTGGGATATCACGGACGTTCTGGAGCTCCCAGTGCACTGGAGGTGGACACTGCGGTGTTCTGAGCTATCACGGCGCTCCCAGCGCTCCCAGTGCGGGGTGAGACGCCTGAGCGCTCCGGAGCTCCCAGTGTTCCCAGTACCGTGTGGGGCTGTCCGCGGGTCCACGTGCCTGGTGCTCCCAGTGTTCCCAGTGCTTCCGGCGCTCGCTGCCCCGTCTCTTGCTGCCCCCAGTGCTTCCGGTGCTGGGTGCTCCCAGTGCTCCCAGTGCTCCCAGAGCTCCCAGTGCACCGCCCCGGCCCCGCTCCCACCCCCGCCGCTGCTGCCTCTGCCTCCCCTGGGGGTCCGGGGGAGTCCGGGAAGAGGGGAGGGGTCGTGCCCGGTTGAGGAGATATTGTGGGGTGGAAGTGGGGGTACTGGGGGGTACTGGAGGTGATTTGGGGCCGCTCCATCAGCGCTGCGATGGAGAAGGGCAGGCATCGCCCCCTGCCCAAGGTAACTGAGAAAGGCCAAAATGTCCCAGTTTGGGTGGGGAAGGGTCATTTAGGGCCCAAACTGGGACCCGGGGACCCCCAAACTGGGACCCTCCCCACCCAAACTGGGGGTACCGGGTCTGGGGGAGACCTCGGGGGGGGCGGGACCAACTCAGGTCGGCGGCCCCGCCTCTCGCTCGCACGCCCCGCCTTCCTCGGCGCTCATTGGTTGTCCGCAGGCCGCGCCCGCCCCCATCGACCACGCCCGCCCCACTCGGCCACGCCCGCCCCACTCGGCCACGCCCCACTCGGCCACGCCCCACTCGGCCACGCCCCTCCGCTCCCTTTAAAGGGGCCGCGGCCGCCGCGAACCCCCGAGGGCCGGGCCGGGGGGCTTTGGGGGGCTTTGGGGAGGGGCCTGGGGGGATTTGTGGTGAGGGGGAACCCCCGGTTGGCCCGGCAGCGTCCCTGGGGATGGTGTGAGGGGAGTCAGGGGCTTCGTGGCACAGCCCAGCCTGCCACGGTGTGAGCGGGGAAACTGAGGCACGGCCCCTTCGCCGGGGGGTGAGGGATGGGCTGGTGGAGCCGCTTGTCCCGCGGGCGGTGGCACATGGTGGCCCACGGGCTCCGCCGCTTCACCCTGAGGCCATCCCACCGCCGCCACCGCGGGGGTCCCGGTGCCCGTCCCGGGAGTCCCGGTGTCCGTCCCGGGGGTCCCGCTGCTCATCCCGGTGGTCCCGGTGCCCCCGGCGATGCCACAACCCCGGCCCGGCCCCGCCCGGCCCCGGTGACTCACCGGTCCCGGCAAGTCGGCACTTGACGCCGGGCCTGGGATGGGGGGGGGGGGCGATGCCCCCCCCAGCACCCAGCGGGGATTCGGGAGGGGCCCTGAGGAGTTTGAGGGGACCCGGGGGGAGGACTGGGGGGACCTCGTGCCATGAAGGCGCCTTTGTCCGGACCCGCCGGTCCCACCCCGAGGTGACTCACGGGCGCGTGGCTGCGCCCTGACTCACCCCCCGCACCCCCTCGCGCCATCAGGGGCCCCTGGAGCCCCCGGACTCCTCCCGCGCCATCGGGATCCCCCGGAGCCCCCCCGGACTCCTCCCGCGCCATCGGGATCCCCCGGAGCCCCCCCCGGGCCGCAGCGGGGGCATCTGGGGAAGGGAGGGGGCACAAAGATTTGGGGGATCTTCGGGGTGAGGGTGGGGTCTGGGGGTGCCGGGAGGGCTCAGGGGGTACCCGGGGGTGCAGGGGGTGCCCTGGGCGGGCCGGGGGGGCACGTGGGTGCGGGGTGGGGGTGTGTATGGATGCAGGGGGGCCCGTGGGTGGTCCCCCACCCCATCATCCTGTGCATCGTCCCCTGGGAGGGACCAGGGACCGAGACCCCCCCGGACCCTCCCCCGGCGGGAGGGAACACCCCTGGGACACCCCCGGAACACCCCTGGGACATCCCCGGACCCCCCAGGGCCGCCCCCGGTGGCCCCTCCCGGTGGTGCCGCCGGTCCCGGGGCCGCCGGTGAGTCACGGCCGTGACTCAGCCCCGCCAAAACAGCGTCGCGCGGCAACACCGGGACACACCGGGATAGGGACACACTGGAATAGGGATCCACGGGGACACGCCCGGACAGGGACCCCACGGCTTCACTCCCCGGGAACGGCCCCGGAGCAGGGCCAGAAGGCTGGAGGGGCCGGGGGAGGCTGGGACCAGGGATCGGGGGGAGAGATCAGGGGTGTCCCTGGGATCTGAGGGGATCCAGTGGATCCCGCGTGTCCAGGTGTGGCCCGGCCCGAGGAAGGAAGGAGCTGGGAGGGAGCAGGGGGAGGAACGGGAAATCCCAGCCCAGTCCCCCGCAGTGTTCCCAGTCAGCCCAGTGCCCCCACCAGTGCTCCCAGTCCTCCCAATGCCAGAGCTCCCTGGGCACACGTGTGTGCTGAGCCATGTCAGTGACACACGTGTGCCATCCTGAGCCTGGGCCATGCCAGTGACACGTGTGCCAGTGCCATGTTGTGCCCTCCTGTTCTGTGCCAGTGACACACGTGTCGCTGCTGTGTTGAGCCGTGTTGGTGCCATGTTGTGCCCTGCTGTCCTGTGCCAGTGACACGTGTGTCAGTGCCGTGTTGAGCTGTGTCAGTGCCATGTTGTGCCCTGCTGTCCTGTGCCAGCGACACGCGTGTCAGTGCCATGTTGAGCCGTGTCAGTGCCATGTTGTGCCCTGCTGTCCTGTGCCAGTGACACGCGTGTCAGTGCCATGTTGAGCCGTGTCAGTGCCGTGTTGAGCCATGGCAGTGCCCCGCCGTGCCCGTGCTGGTGCCCAGCCTGCGGCGGCCCCACAGCCGCTCCCGCCCCGCTCAGCCCGGGCTGAGTCAGACACGAGGAATGTGCCGAATGTGCCGGCGGCGCGTGGGCGACACGGCCCCGCTGCCATTGCCTAGAAAGGGCATCGCCGAGCCCCGGCCACGGGGAGCCCTCGGGGGGCAACTGCGGCCACCCCGGCACCGCCAGGGACCCCACGGGGCCACCCTGGGGCTCACAGGAGCCCAGCACGGCCACCGTGGCCACTGGGGACGGGGGCACCCGGCAGGGACCCCACAGGCCCACCGACGGTCCCGGCAGGGCCCCAGCACGGGCCTGTGGGTGTGAACACGTGTGTGCGGGGCTGTGTGTCACACGGGGGCTGCGGGGCCTCGTGGGGGGTGAGTGTGGCCTCACACGTGTGACCACAGGACACGCGTGCACGTGTGTGACCCCACCCGCGCGTGAGTGGCCACACGTGTGCACATGCGTGTCCTGCCATGTACACGTGTGCCTGGGCATCACCGCTGCCATGTGCACACGCATGTCCTGCCCTGCCCGTGTGTGCCCTGCCCGTGTGCACACGCATGTGTCCTGTGCCCGTGTGTGCCCTGCCCATGTGCACACGCGTGTGCCGTGCCCGTGTGTGCCCTGCCCGTGTGTGCCCTGCCCGTGTGCACACGCATGTGTCCTGTGCCTGTGTGTGCCCTGCCCATGTGCACACGCGTGTGCTGTGCGTGTTGGCAGGGCCATGTGTGCCCCGTGCTGTGCTCAGCATTCCGTGTTGCCTGGTCAACGTTCCCTGTGCCCCGTTCCCTTGTCCCACATTCCCTGTTCCACGTTCCCTGTTCCATCTCCCACACTGCCTGTTCCATGTCCCACATTCCCTGTCACCCCTTCCCTGTCCCTGTTCCCATTCCCATTCCCTGTCCCCATTCCCTGTTCCCTGTTCCCATTCCCTGTTCCTATTCTGTGTTCCCCCCCCGAGAGGGGCCAGGGGGGATCCCGTGTTTAAAATGGTGAAGGGGGGGTTGTTGCCCTGTCCCAGATGTTCGACCACTGCCAGATGTGGGGTGGGACTCGGGGGCACTGGGGGCCCATCCTGCCCCACTGCTGAGGGGTGGGTGTGTATGGGGGGGCTGTGGGACAGGGATGTGGGGTAGGGCTGGCTGTGGGGTTTGGGGTTCTACCTGTGGGGCAGTGTTATGGGGTGTGGGGCAGTGTTATGGGGTGTGGGGCAGGGCCATGGGTTCCCAGGGTGTGGGTTCTGGGGCAGCACTGGCTGTGGGGCAGGGCCATGGGGTGTGGGGGTAGTATTATGGGTGTGGGGCAGGGATATGGGGTGTGGGGCAGGGCCATGGGGTGTGGGGCAGGGCCATGGGTTCCCGGGGTGTGGGTTCTGGGGCAGCGCTGGCGCCGCAGCCACGGTGACGCGTTGTGGTTTCGCTACTTCCGATCTCCAGCTCTGTTTAATGTCTGTGTGTGCGGCATCGCCATGGAGACCCCAGGCCCCCAGGCCCTCCCCAGCCCCCCCAGGCCTCCCCCGGCCCTGCCACCGCCCCACAGCGCATCCACCGCTCAACACGGTGCCTGGGCGAGGCACGGCCTCCCTGTGGGGTGCAGGATCCTGCGCCACGGGGCACCGGCCGTGCCCTGGCTGCCATGGGGTCAGCACGAGACCCTCTGCACCGCACGGGGCACTCGAGACACCCTGCCGTGGGGCACTGAGACCCCCCTGCCATGGGGCACTGAGACCCCCCTCCCCACGGGGCATGCGGTCCCTGTGCCACGGGGCAACGTCCCGCTCGCTGTGGGTCACCAAGTCCCCTCTGTGGGGCACGGGGACCCCCGGCCGTCCCCGTGGGGCACCAGCCCCCTCCCCACGGGGCACGGGCAACCCCCCCTCGCCGCGGGGGCACCGAGAGCCCCCTCCCCACGGGGCGCGTGGCCCTCCCCTTCCCCGGGTCTCCGAGCCCCCTCCCCAGGGGGATCCGAGCCCCCCCCAAACACGGGGCACGTGGTGGCCCCTCGGGGCCTCCCCTCGCCGCCCGTCGTCCCTCCCGCCCGGGTCCCGCTGCGGGGCCGGGGCGGGCTCGGCGCGGGCCCGGTGCGGTCTCGCTCGGTGCGGGGCGGGCGCGGGGCGGGCGCAGGGCGGGCGGAGGCGGCCC